AAAACAACTGATGAGGGTGAAAACTTTGGAAAGGAAAGTTGCATTCTGAACTCAATCAAGAAAAGCAGGTCTCAAAAGTAATGTTAAAATCCTCATGACAAAGATCTTTAAAGCAGCCTCAGAGTATGATCTCCACCCCCAACCCCCCCAAGAATGTATCCAACAAATTTGACTGAAATCTGCCACCCTTTCCTTGATATTCACCAGCCTGGGGTGGGATAAGGGAAATGAAATAACAAACCTCACTTGTAAGAATTTTAAAAGTTTAATGTGAAGTTAAAAATACAAATAGAAGTCCACTTGTTTAATGTTGTACAAAAAAGTATGAATAGAACCAAAAGGAAATTAAACATTATCACATGTGTTTACAGCACTATCTAGTTACTCATATTAACTTTACTATTCAAATAATGGAAATTAGGGAGCATTGAGGGGTCAGGAAAGAGGAAAACAATCCTTGTCGACCATGACCATTTTTCTTATTCTACACTGTTGATAGCTGTGCTCACAGAGACGGCTTCTTTTACTTCGCCAGCGCGCAGAATTCAGTTGTATATAAAATTGAACCTGAATTTAAAACAAAAAACCAATATTCCGTATTAAAACCAGTATTATCTATCTAGATAATAAGGACATTTATTTGGATGTCTGTATTCTTTCTTGACATTTTTGGCATTTCAACACCAACCTCCTCTCACTCATTGTATCTTATGCATTAAATACTAGTGAATACTTAAAATAAATCATTGATTATCTACTAAGAAATCACTTTAAATAAGGGGAAAGATTTTTCATATACTACTTTTTCTCCTTGGAGGCTAGGATTTTGAAGCTCTGTCTCATATACTTTGGACATGTGGCCAGGAGGAACTAGTCCTTGGAGAAGGATAACATGCTTGGAAGGATGGAGGGACAGCATATGAGAGGAAGACCCAGATGAGATGGATTGATACAGTAACTGGAGCGATGGGGGTAGTTGTGTCGGAGTCACATTAGCTCAGGACAGGACAGGCTTCAGAGCTGCTGTACACAGACAGGGTCGTTGTAAGTCGAAGATGACTCCATCAACATAACAAAAACAACTGTGTTCTCACCACTCAGCACAGTTCCCTGCACTTGTCACTTAAATTATTAAATAATAGTATGGTTCTTTTTTTTTAATCCCATACTTCAACATCAGCAGGCTATAGCAGAGGTACAACAGATAAAAGTGTAAAAAGACTAATTTTATAACCAAAAAGCTTTCACAGAATGCCAAAATAAACTGCACCTGGTCCTCTTCCCTTAAACAAGCAATTATTTACTAATACTTTGCCTCCGGAAACCCTATGAACCTGGAGAAAGGATGAATGTTATACAAGCGTTCAGGTCTTTTGTTCATAGGGTCGCTGTGAGTCGCCTACAACTCGACGGCACTTCACAACAAACAACAACCAGTGGGTAAGGAGTTGTGCCGCCAACCCAACGGCAAGTAGTTCAAATCCACCAGGTGCCCCTTGGCAGAAATATGGCAAGCATCCTACCTTGTGATTTACAGCCTCTAAAAACCCACTAGAGGGTCTAAACACCCACTGGAGGGTCGGCAGAGTTGGTTCTGACTCGACAGCAAAGAGTTGCCACACTGGTCTCAATGCTCATTTTCTTACAAGCTTTTTATTGTGCTTTGAATGAGCATTTACAGAGCAAATTAATTTCCATTCAATCATTCCCATTTTAATGACATTACTTACAGTAGCCACATGGAACAGCACTTGCTCCACTTCTTCGCTATGATTTTCATTCATCATCCAACCCTATCCCTTCCTGTCTTCTGAGTGAGGATTCTCCTTGGGCAAAACTGATCTTTAAATCTTACATGACTGGTTTTTCTCATGAGTAAGTAAGTACCTTCCTGGTGTTACTGTTCACCTATAAGCCTATTATTTGGTTGAAAGTTAAGCCACATGAGTTTAGTTCCAGGCACAAAATGATTACTAAGGGCTTAATTAGGCCTAGGTCTCTGGGCTTCACCAATCTCTACTAGCCCAGCAAGCCTGGTCACTTAACTGATTTGAGTTTTGTTCCAGTTTTTCTTCCATTCTGACAAGTACTCTCCACTGTGCTCCCTTTAAGAAGTGAGTAGTGGCTGCCAGGCACCACTATCCAGTTTTTCTGGTCTTGGGAGTGGAGGTTTAAGTGCCGGTGGTCAATTAATCCTGCTTTGAAGATTAATGGTCCTTTAAATACTAGTATTTCTAAGTATCTTTCATCTTCTTCATTCTTTTTTGCTCTAGGCAGGTGGAATTGTTTTAAACTAGTTCATTATTGGGCACTTGACTGATTTTTGGTGCTGTTCTGAGGACCTTGTATGTCATACCACTTATTCTTCATAATCCAATCAAGTGGACACTCATAACCATTTTACCCATAAAGAAACAGGAAAATAGGTATAACAGTTTGCTTAAGGCTACAGTGTCATAAAGCTCTTAGAATTCAAATCCAGGCACTAACTGTGGAACTTACGTTTTTAACCAAGTTACTTTATGAGTCCTATTTGATTCTTTGAACCAAAAACTTCTCAACCTCTCTTCTTGTTTTGTACCCGAGTTGGAATCGATCCAAACCTGATCCTCTAATGAGTTTTCAGAAGCAGTTAATCACATGGGAAGAGACTGCCCATCCTTCTCCCTCAGAGCATCTGGTGGATCTGAACCTTGTGCCTTTAGGATTGCAGTAAAGTTTCTTACCACTAGGCCACCAGAGCTTCCTCTCATTCACACTATCCATCTGCCTAAAATCCACAAAATCATCATAAAACCCAACACTTAACGCTACACACAGTAATCTGGGCCCAAACACAGTAGTTGTAAAAAGGAAAACCCAACGTAACAGACCACTCAACAAAAATATTCAGTTCTCCACATTTTACAAAGACAGCCATTTCCCCCTCCCATCTCACACGGCTGACTATTTTTCACCATTTCATCTTTTTTGCTAAAGACTCCAAACTTAAATGCAAAGAATTAGCAGATTTTAAGGAGAGCCGTTATATATTAAGAGAATATCAAGCAGCAACTTAAGACCCTGTGGGGTGGGGACACTTTACTCAGTCGTTCATACAGGAATTGAATCTATGGTTGCTCTTGACCTACAGATTCACATATTATTTCTTTAAAGATCAAAATTGATACTCTGTCTTCTCAAGGTGCTCAGAGTATTTCAAATCCAAGAGTTTATATGATTATATCACAAAATACTCAGGATTTCATACCTGCTCAAGAGCTGAGGGAGACTAGAAATGATGGGTCCATATCCTGGTGCATTGTCATACAATTCAAACAACGGTGCAGCTACCAGCTTGTAATTTTTAGGAACAGCAAACAAGGCTAAAATAAACAAAAGAGCATTATTTTTCTATTAAAATCTTTTAAACGTTGCCTCTATTTTAAAATTAGTAATTTTTTATTTGAGGAAAACATGTTTCCAAGTAACTTCTAAAGGATATTTTTTTTCCTCCCCTCAGCATTATATTTCCCTCCTTTTTGGACAGTGTAAGAGGCAAGGAAGAAAACAGGATCCCACTGCAGTCTGGAGTGCACGAGACCGCTGATAGTATGAGGGGTAAGATGGCCAGTCAGATGAGATGGAAGACCTCAAGGATTCTTTCCAAACTAATTCATGCACTCTTAAAAAAATCTGGCTTATGTCTAAGTGTTCAGCTAATGGTATTCAATAATAGGTGTCTTTTTTCTGTTTTTTAGCAGGGTTCTTACATGTTGGTTGTATCAAACCATTCCCTTCCTTTCACAGACTGGAGCTCACCGGGAAACTAGGTTAACTCAAAGTATAGCAGTCTGAGGAATGCATCTGGCCAGCTGGCTTAATTCAGAGCCTGTCTCCTTTACGCCTCCCTCTACTGTGCTGGAAAAGGCTGAAAAGAATTTCCTAATTAGCTTCCTTGAGATCTAAGCAGCTTGCCCAGGTAGATTTTACATGGAAGGCTGTGGGCTGCAACACTCTAATGTGTCTTCTCCTTCTAGTGATAAATGTAGGGGAAAAGCAGATTTGCATGCCGATTTCACGGGCTGTCTTCAGGATCTCGACAACACTGGTTATGTTCAGAATCTTGGACATGCACATCATTCATTTTGAGGACTTGGTCCCCTTCCAGAAGTCCTGCTTGATGTATACCATGAATCACCTTGGAGATGAAGATGCCTAGCTGGGATGCCTTGCCTCCTCGGAGGTTAAATCCCAACTCGTGAGGAGGGATCCATGCTGGGGGATTTTCACAGACAAGCAGGAAAACTACAGGGTAATCATCACAAGGACTTCAGCTGTCCATTTCTGGCAAGGCTCAGTCCTCAGCTAACATAGAGTCCACTTGCCTCCAATTCAGTTCCAGCTGGAAGCAGGTACACAGATGGGTGGGGCCAGGGTGCACTGTACCCACCGAAAATGATCATTCTTATTTATATGTTTTGTTCACAGTCATATAGATGACTTCATGAAACAAAGTGATTGTCTAAATAGATCCTTTTTATTTATAAAACCATGAGTACCTTTATAAGCACGGGGAGAAAGCAGGTCAGGGCAGAGCTTTGGGTTTATAATTTATTTTGGATCTCAGTTTAAGACTATTGTTAAGAATTCTTAAAACTCACAGCAGTTCTAAAGGTAGTATTAACAATTTTTAAAGTCAATTCATTTGTCTCTCAAAATTTTAAATAATCTGCCACTCAATAGTCACAATACTTTTTGTAAAACAGCTATACAATTATCTAGCAGCTATACAATTATCTTAAAATTTGACTATGATTTAGTATTTTAGGTCCAGTTAAATTATTTTTTTTTCTCTCTGCAGCACAACTGGCACAGCTAAGAGGAAAAACTAGAACTTTCTGCTAGTTTTATTTTTCATTTTATAATAAATCCAAAATTTCAAGGAATTTGTAGAAAACACAAATACAGCCATGAAACCATTCTACAGAAGTCTTTAGATGGCTGTCTTAAGAAAATGAACTTACCTTTCTCTTGAAGTTGAACCAGAAACAACTTCTTATGTTCCTTAGGTTTTGTGATGTGTGCAGGAATATATGGGTACTAAAATAACAAGTAAGAGTTATTTGTAGTTTCCCAAACCCACCATTCCAGCCATTTTTTGTTGTATAGTAGTGGGTATTTTTGCCTGTCCAAACCCATCACTCCCTGCATCCCTACATTTCTGTTTAACAATGTCTGCCATTGTAGAGATTAAGGATCAAATTTTACTTTTTGAGATCCATCTCCTTAAATTCTTGACATAATTTTAACACATATCCTCGTATTCTTTTTCTTTGCACGGTTATTGACCAGTAAGGTATAAACTGCTCCCTATATTCTTCCCTTTCCAAGGCCTAGTAGCTGATACGGGTTAAGAAATATATGCTTTAAGCGTTATTCACTATCACAAGAACATGGAAACAGCCCAAATGTTCAATTAGAACTGAATGGATTGATAAATTGTGGTACAGCCACACAAGGGAATACTATGTAGCTAGCACTCAGAAACAACGATTTTGAAAACTACTACATAACATGGGAAAGACTGGAGTGCATTATGCTGAGTGAACTAACTCAGCCACATGAGGACAAATACTGCATTAGACCATTATTATAAAAATAGGGTAACTACTAAAACATGTATGGGGACCCAAAGGGGGAAGGGGAGGGAGCAGAGGAGTTAGGATAGGTAGGGGCGAATTACAGGGCTGCACTGATTGGTGGGTGGTGGGAGGGGGTAAAGGAAATGGGAAGGATCTGGCAGGGACTTGAAAAGATTGGGTAATGATGGGCAAGGTCTAATGGTGATTGATTCTGTAAAACATAATGCATGGGAATAACTGTACAAAACACAATATGAATGAAGAATAGTGTAAAACACAATGTATACCAACTTTGTGAGCAAACCAGGAGAAGGACATTATGCTTGGAAGATTTGGGGGTGGGTGGGGGCTCAGCACAGGAGAGGAAGACCCTAGAGACTAGCTCAGTGATTGTGGTAACAGGAGTAGTTGTGTCAGAGGCAGTGAAATGGCTCAAGGTAGGGCAGGGTTCAGAACTATTGTTCACAGGGTTGCTATGAGTGGTAGTCAACTGAAAGGCACCTAACAACAACAACAACAACAACAACAACAAAACAACCTGCTGGAGAATCAGTTAGGAGCTGATTAGGACTGATCACACTGAGAGTTTATGCCTGTGGTAATCATCTATTTTGGAAATGAGCTGTCTTTATTAATGAGGCAGAATTAATTTAGGGTGTATCTTCAGTTAACTTTTTTTTTTTTTAAATTTTATTATTTTTGTGTGCGTGTACTCAGTTAACTCTTAGGAGATATAAAAAGTGACTGAGCAATTGAGTTGAGGAGAAATAGTGAAAAAGATGTCAAGCTACATGGGAGATCCCCAAGGAGCCAGAAGCCAGAAGGAAAGCAAGGCCTTCTCTCAGAGACAACACAGCAAGAAAGCCTTCCTCTGGACACGGCATCTGCAAATCTAACTTCTAACCTCACTGTGAGGAAGGACATCTCTGTCGAAGCCACTTGGTGGTATTTCTTTATGGTACTATCAGATTAACTAAGAGCACTTAACAAATAGTTCAGTTAAATCAAATCACAGTCATCTCCAGGGTTTAATGAATTGAGGTAACTGTCCTAGGACCCTCTACTATGAAGAGAACCAGGCACTGATAGCAACAGAGGAAAATAAACAGAAAGCAGGGGCTTTAGCAGCACAAGCTGAAAGAAGCCTACAATTAATATACACCCCAAGTTCCCAAACCCCAATGACACCAAAGTGAATGGCATTAACCCAGTTTTCAACTTATCTTAAAGGCCACAAGTTCCAATCTTGACCTTGACCTTTTAAGCTAACTGTACTTTCTACAAAGACTCAAGTAAGTTGCTGATGTGCTCTTTTCTTTCCCATTGACAAATAATTAATTTTGTTATTGCTTGCTGCAATCAAGTCAGTTCCAACTCCTGCAAGCTTACATAGAACAGATTAAAACACTGCTAGGTCCTCATGCACCGTCATAATTACTGGTATACGTAAGCCCAGTGGTGTGTCTGTTGTGCCAATTCAGCTCAGGGAAGGTCTGTTTTCACTGATCTTCTACTTTAACAAGAATGATTCCCACTTGTCATTGGTCTTTCCTGATAACATATCCAAAGTAAGGCAAAGTCCCACCCAGCCTTGCTTCCAAGGAGCCCTCTGGCCACACTTCCTCCAAAATTCAACTGTTCATTCTTGTAGTCCAGAATATACTCAATATACAATTCAAATGCATCAATATTTTTCAGATGTCTCATTTTTAGTGTCTCGCTTTTGTATATACCACCAGTTTATGCTGTCAGTTTATGGTCCTGTAGTAGTTTGCATATTGCTGTGATGCTGGAAACTATGCTACGAGGATTTCAAATACCAACAGGTTCAACATCATGATGGACAGGTTTCAGCAGAGTTGCCAGACCATGACAGATTAGGAGGAAGGGCATGGCAATACACTTCTGAAAATCAGTCAAGAAAACTTTATGTAAAACCAATTCTCTAGGTTTACAAAATAAACACACAGCCATTTTACTGGTCATTTAGTGGTGAAGAGTTGAGCTGCCAACCAAAAGGCACACAGTTTGAATCCACCAGTTGCTCCTTGGAAAAGAGATGGGCAATCTCCTCCTATGTGATTTAATGCCTCCGAAAACCTGCTGCTGGGTCAGCTAGGAGTTGTTTCCAACTCAGTGTTACTTAACATCAACAACAATCCCAGCTAGTGAAGATGAATGAGAATATTCAAGAAGTTGCCTGGAAAAACATCCTGAATTCTTCTGAGCATTTTCACATTAGACCAAAGGTTCAAAAACCCCAGTTTTTCGAATTAGAGTAACTGTCCTGTCTATGTTTGGATAGACACACACTTTACTATTTCCAATGGAAATGACAATTTTTTTAAAAGGCCAAATTAATAATTCTTAAGTGGTAAGCACCAGAACAATTACAGTAATTCTGAAGTAATAAGCACCAGAACAATTAAGACAAATAGTGAAAATTTATTCCCAACCTGCTTTCACAGAAATGTAATTTTTTAAAAATTATTTTTGTGTGTGTGTGTGTGTACCATCAAATCAGATCTGACTGGTACAGGAGGAGATTGTCCCTCCTTCTCCAGCAGAGCATCTGGTGGATTCAAACCATATATGTGCCTCTGGGATTGCAGTGCAGCTTCTTGCCACTTGGCCACCAGAGCTCACCAGAAATTCAATTTTCGATCATACTACTAAATAAAAACAAAACAAAGACAAGGATAGAGAAAACGATCCTTTTCTTGGAAAATAGTCTGTTGTAATGTTGCGTCTGGAGCATCATCATACAAGAAGAGTAATGAAATTCATAAAGGTTTGTCAAAACAATTCAGGATGTTTTAAAGAAGATCATTATCTTTCAGAAATGCAGGCTGAAGTATTTACAATTTAAATAGGCTATCTAAAATTTATCCCAAAAGTAAGGGGCGAGGGAGAGTGGCAACAGGGAACAAGGCTTGCTAAGACAAATCAGACTAACTAATGGCTGTTGAAGCTACTGTCCCTTAACAATTTATATGAAATTTTCCATTACAAAAATGGGAAAACTTTTCATCTGAAGGAGGAAGAAAAGGAAATTTCCAATCAAATTGTTTTAAACCACAGAGGGATCCCAAATCAGGTTTTTCCTGCTTTCCCAAATGTCAAGCAAACATGTGAACACTGACCTGAGGTGGTTCAAAATTTGGTCTCCACCAGTTACCAATGCAGTCATCGATGACCCAGTCTTGCAGGACTCCATCCTGACGACCTAGTATCTGCCAAAAAGAAATGATAATCCAGTTAACAACTGTATAAATAAAAGACACAAATATCCTTTGCAACCGAAGAAAATATCTTTGGCAGCTCTCTTTGTCCAGACGTGATTATCCATTTGTGTCAGAGGAGGGCTGTGTTCCAGAGAGTTGTCAACAAGTGATTTTTCAGAAACAGATCACCAAATCCTTCTTCAGAGATGCCTCCAATGTACTCAACTCAAACCTCTAACCTTTAATCATTACCAAAGGACTGATGAGGCCACCGTCAAAATCAATCAAGGGACTCATAACTAGATGGAGACTTGTCTGTCAGTTTTTCATGCAGTCTTTTGTGTCACTTATAATGATGGCAACTATTGCCACCAGTATACTGCAATTATCAACAAGGTCACCCACGTTGGACAGGTTTCAGCAGAGCTTCTAAACTGAGACAGACTAGGAAGCAGGACTGGTCAGCCACTTCTGAAGTAATGGGTTCTTGAGATCTTATGAATAGCAGCAGTAGAGTTTCTTACACAGCATTAGAAGATGAGGCTGTCACGTTCAAAGGCACTTAAAACACAACTGGGGAAGAGTTGCCTCCTCAAAGTAGAAGCTAACTTAGTACCCAAATAAAAGCTTTCAGCCAATGAAGACCTTCAATTGCTGATACAATGCTACTCCAAATGAGGAGAAGTATCTGCAAATGTCTATCAATAAATGGAACTGGGAATGCACGAAGCATGAATCTAGTAAAACTGCAAGCTGTCAGAAATGAAATGGAATGCTGAAAGGTCAACATTCTATGCATTAGTGAACTGAAGTTGACTGGTATTAGTAATTTTTTGTCAAACATTTATATGGTTTACTATGTCCAAGAACTAAATGAAGACAATAATGTCACATTATTGGACTTCTTACTCGAGTACCACTGCATTTTAATCATAGGCAGCTTCCTAAAATGGTCGATCATCTACCTGATCTTTTTGGTCTGGAATGGAGTTCCTTAACTCCAAAATCTATTCTGAAATACAATGTTGTGATAGGATAATACCCACACACACACACACACAAGAAAGTCCTGTTTAACACAAAAATTACTGAGAGTTTTTACCAACTTTTACAGTTTAAAAGAGGCCAAGCACCTAATCAATAATCAATTAGAGACTGGCAGGCAAAATGGGGAAACAAAGGAGTGATAGTTGGAAAATACGGTCTTGGTGCTAGAAATGAGGCTGGAGATTCCCCCCTGCCCCTTGTCATGCAACGTCGAGTTGGATCCAACTGGCACAAGAGGAGACTGCCCCTCCTCCTCCATCAGAGCATCTGGTGGATTCGAAATGCTGGCCTACAGGACTGCAGTGCAGCTTCTTGCCACCAGAGCTCCCTGAGGCTGGAGATCTTAGGATAAATACCACTTAAAAAATATAAACAGTGACTATAAACACAGTTCACTTGATAGAATATACAGGAATACAATCAACTAAATTTGAGAAAATTGTTAGTATCATTAATTAGCACAAGATCAGGGGCCAACTTTGAAACAAACCATTAAATCCATTAACTATTCATATGTAAGTTCAAACTGAAGCTGAGTAAAATGAAAGTCAGTCCATGAAAGACCATGACCGTCTTTCCCACTTGAATTTAGAGACCACTTTGGGAACAGATTTGGTACAACGAACACTAACGACCAAAAAGTCATGAGTTGTGAAGTGACATCAAACTTGAAGAAAGCAAAGAGGTCATTTAAAAAAAAGAGAGAGAGAGGTAAACAGAAAGCAAAATATAATCTAGAGTTACAAAACCAAAGGAAAGAGCATGTTTGGCAGTTCTCAAATGGGGGGAAAAATTTATCTTCTTTGCAACACAAAAAAGTCTATGAGGAAGACAGAGATGTTTCACATAGACGAGAGTTGCCAAACCACAAAGATTGGGTTCAACCATTTAGGAAGCTGCCTATGATTAAAATGCAAAGGTCCTGGAGAAAGAAGTCCAAACTGCTCTAAAGGCACTGGCAGAAAACAAGACTCGGAAAATTGACAGAATACCACCAACAGAAGTGGTTTACCAAACAGATGCAGCCCTGGATATGTTCACACCTCTATGCCAAGAAAATGAGGAAGAAAGCTAATCGGTCAACCAGATGAGGTCTTGAAATGAGAGCCATCACTGCTGATGTCATTTTAGCTCAAAGCACAGAGAGTCAGAAAAATGTTCTGCTCTATTGACTATACAAAGGCATTTGATTGTGTGGATCACAACATATTAGGTAGAATAATGAGAAGAATGCGCATTCCAGACCACTTAATTATTTTCACAAATAATTTGTGCACACAAGAAATAAGCAGAACAAGGAAATATAGCATAAGGAAATATGGCATGGCTTAAAATCAAGAAAAATGAGCATCAGGATTGTAATCTTTCACCATACCTAGTCATCTGTATACTGAGCAAATAATCCATGTAGTTGGGCTCTAAGAAGATTGCAGCATCAAGATTGGAGGAAGAATCATTACATGTTTTAGCATATGATATACATATCATACAACTTTGCCTGCTGAAAGCAAAGATGACTTTGAAAACTTACTGAAGAAGATCAAAGAATTTGTAGCTTTTAGTATGGATTATACTTCTACCTAAATCAAAAGACAGGTTACACTGGGGAAATCTGCTATGAAGGCCCTCCCCAAGTACAAAAGAGCAAGGATGTCGATTTAAAGACTAAGGTGTGCCTGATCCAAACCCTGGTCTTTCCAACTGCTTCCTATGAATGTAAAAATTGGACAATGATCAACGATGAAAGAAGAGGAATCGATGCCTTTGAGTTGTGGTGCTGGAGAAAGAGTACTGAATTTCCTATGGACACATGAACAAACAAGTCTACCTTGAAAAAAGTGCAAATCAGGGTGCTCCTTAAGAAGCAAGAATGGTCAAACTTCATCTCAGATATTCCAGATATACTGCTTGAAGGGGCCAGTTCTTAGAAAAACACATCATGGTGGGAAAGGTGGAGGGTCAGAGAGAGAGAGGAACACTTTCAACAAGATGGACTGACTTAGCGACTTTAACAATGGGCTTGAGCATTAGTGAAGGTTCAGATATGCTGTTCAAGCTGTTCATAGCTGTTGCTATGAGTCATAGTTGACTGGATGGCATCAAACAACTTTTTAAATAAAGGAGCTCTGGTGGCCTACTGGGTAAGGAGTTACACTGCCAACACGAAGACAGGTGGTTCAAATCCACCAGCTGTTCCTTGGGAGAAAGAACAACAACCTCCTCCCATGTAATTTACAGCCTCTGAAAATCCACTGGAGGCTCTGCAAAGGTCATGTCCAATGTGATGGCAAGTAGTAGTAGTACTTTCCTAACAAACCCCATCTCCATGAGTATAGTCAGGGAGCTCTGTCTGACCTGTGCGACAGATTATCAAGCCCAGAAGAGTAGTGAGTGCTGTGGAAGGGCAGTTGGTGTGAGAATCTGCAGAGTTCCACGCAGAATGTGGGAGCATATGTGACCTCATCTGAATTCTGTACTAATGATGTTGCTTGTTCTCCCTGGAGAGATTAGTGGGGGGGGGGGTGTGTGTCAGATGTCCTTCCCTCAAGACTACTATCATGCCTTTTTTTGTAAATGGTTTCTATTTAACCAGTATGGACCCTCATTGAACATCTTGGAAGATTTTAGGATTCTGTTCTTGTTACTCCTCTCAATTTCCATGATGCTACATATTGGCATGGACCTTTTAACATTCACTGTGGAAGACAAGCCAGTCTTTCAATCTGCAAATTCGCATCTTTCAGGTTTAGAAAACTTTATCAAATTAATGCTGAAATGATGCTTCCTTTTCCTCTATCCTCTTTATAGTGCTTTTCCTAGCATTATCTACTCATTTGATCTTTTCTCAACTTATCAATTAACCTGTTGCACTTTTTGGTAGACTTTATAGATTCATTCTTTCAACTCTTCTACTGATGTTCTTATTTCTAACATTTTCTTCATATCCATGAGTTTTCTGTTCTTAGAATGTCTTTAATTTAAATGGCACTTAGTTCCCATCATAGTGCTCCAAAAGTATTCCGTTTTATTAACTGATGAAATTTGTTTCTGCTGAGTTCTTGTTCTTTTTATAGTAGGTTTTCCCCAAAAGCCTTACACTTGGTTATCTGTTCGTCATCAAGGATGCAGCAGTCATATGCCTTACTGTGACCCACGTGTACAGCATTAGAGGGGTGTATTTTTTTCTAGGACTGATCGCTTTCTCCGAAAGCAAAGCCCGTCTCTGGTGGTGCAGTCTATAGAGTTGCACTGCTAACGCAAAGGTTAATTCTGGCAATACAAATCCATTAGTGGCTCCCAGGAGAAAGCTGGGCAATCTCCTCCTTTGTAGCCTCAGAAACAGGGGAGGATAAGCTGGGGTTGGTTCCAACTCTTGGTAATGAGATGAGTCAAAAGGCATTTGACCTAGCTGTCAAATCCTGTTAGCTTAGTAGAAGCCATGATCCATCTCTCTCTTGCCATCAAGTCAGAATCAACTCACACTGGACTCTCCGGAGGTGTTCAGAGGCTGTAAATCACACAGGGAGAGACTGCTCATCCTTCTCACAAGGAGCAGCTAATGGATTTAAACGCCTGCTTCAGGGTCACCAGACCACCTTCTCTTTTCGTCTCCACTCCCTAAACTATTTTCTTGCTCAGTATGTTTTTCATTCAGTCTCTACAGAAATTAAGGGAGCTCTGGTGGCCTTGTGGTAAGAAGCTGCGCTATAATTCCAAAGTACACAGTTTGAATTCACCAGCTGCTCCAAGGGAGAAGCATGGACAATCTCCTCCCATGTGATTAACAAGCCTCTGAAAACTCTCTGGAGGTTCATCTATAGGTCAGTTGCAACTGGATGTTACACAACAACATACAGAGACTATGCCAGGCCATGACTGACTTCAGACAGGGGCAAAGTTAATGTACGTGCCAAAGACATCTCATATAAACTTCCAACCAAAGGGGTTTTTAAAGCCCATTCACGCTCCCACTTCCATAGGTACCTGGCATCTCCAAATCATCAGCCTTTCTAGTGTCCAGTAGTGGAAGAATCTGGACTGCCCTTTAGATAGACTGAGATTTCTGCTAAACCAGTCATAATTTGCCCGTCTGTCTTCTTATGTCACTGAATCTGCCTTCTAATTAATCGCTACCCTCCATCTGGTTTCCAAAGCAATTACTGCCCATCATTTTCTTTTGAAGTTGCTGGTGTATTCAAACCACTGAACATGGGGGGCCTTTTAGTAAAACCACTACTTCATAACAATACAACTGCTTTCTAGCCTCCAGGTCTTTTTCCTACTATTGTCTCATTTTTTCACTCTACCAAATACACTCATACCTGTGAGTGCGAGGAAGCAAAGCTAAGCAGGTAGCTTCAATCTACCATAGTTACCTGGAAATCCAAGCACATCCTAAGATTCAAGAGTTAAAACGTTTTTTATATACCGTAGAGACAAACCAACAATGATAGAAATTATAGGTGATTTCAGTGGTTTTCCTTCTGCCGTCCAGTGAGTATCACTGATTTTACATTGACTATGTACTAGTTTTATAATTATAGAGAGAAAACTGCATGTCATTTTAGAAAATTATAAATCACCCAACAAATCTCAGCACCCTCCACTATTCATTTGGTCCTAAGTCTTCACAGGCAAGCATTAGATGATTTATAAAAAGTAGGGCAATTTGGAGAAAGTGTTATGTGCAAAAAATGCAAACAGATACATAGGAGGCATCTTTCTCTTGTCAGAGCTCTAAGGATGCCGACTCTGGAACAAGCCTGCCTGCCACAACACAGCAGATACAGAGCATCAAGCTATTTACCTCTGGGTCTCAGTTTCCACAGCTGTAGAACGACACAATAATAATACTTTCTGGGGGTGGTTAAGAGATTTAAAAGAGTAACTGCAATTAAAGCACTTAGAACTGTGCCTAATACACAAGTGTTCCTGCTGTTGTTTACCATCACACTGGAACTAACTCACAGCTGACCTTCCAGCAGGTTTTCAGAGATTGAAAAATCCCATGGGAAGAGAACGTCCATCTCTCTCCTGCAGAGCAGCTGATAAATTCAAACCGCACACCTTAGGGTTGGCAGCACAATGCCATACCAATAAATCATCAGAGCTCCTTTAACACAGAGAAAATATGTAAAAAATGTTAGGTTTTATTAACCATTACTGCTTCATCAACCTTTCAATGAAAAAAGTAAGCTTAAAAGGCAACTAAGGAGTTCAACTAGCAAAAATAAGCATTTTAATAATACTCCTGAGTTTAAGTTTCCTTTATTTAAAAGGAAACAAGCAAAATAGACAGCCTTTTTCATAAGACATAAACGTGGCCAAAACTTAAACTGTCAAAAGTGGTTAAATAGGAAAAAATACCTCTGTCATTAAGCGTTTTAGTCCTTCAACTTCATCTTCTCCTGGATTAAGTTCACCACCAGGTCTGTATAAAGGTTAAGAATTTCCATTAACGCAATTTTGGGTAATAGGACAAAGATAATAGCCATCTGTATCAGATAACATATTTTGGTTCCATATGATAAGGTCATCAGATAAATAAATGTGGCAAACAATGAAAAGAGCATGCTAAAAAGCTGAATTTGTTAAATCAACTCATCAGTAAACCGTAGTTTTAAATCAAGAAAATATACACATTAACGTAAGGCAGATGGGGAAGGAAATCCAATTTCTGGCTACTGGGATATATATCACAATCTCTTTTCTCTGGAACCAATCTAGTGACTAGATATTCCCAGAGGGCAAACAGCCTCATTCTTGAGACGTGAGAAATGGACCACTTTCTAAGAACTTACGGTCTAAATAAAAACTGGGAGATTTATGACCTTTAATGATAAAAAATGTAGCATTAGCTCTAAAAATGAGAGCCACTGTAAGAAGAAAAAAATATTATTCACCCTGAAATAGAAACAGTATCAATGATTCTTTGTAATGCTATGAGGAAGAATAGAAATTAAGTTTAGGCTAATGTAGGCTAAGGGGCTTCTATAAAGCTCAATCATTAGCACAGGTAACACACAGACCTCCAGTGAGACATTAACAATACCCTGGGGAAAGAATTCTAAAAATTCCACTACAGCACTATTTACTGAAAGAAATTACGAAGGGCTAAAACTGTATTTCAAAGCTACATAAAATGATAACTCTATTAAAAGTTACTAATTTCCAAAACTTACAATTTGAAGAAGGTTGTTCCCAGCTGAAGCAGTAACACATGAGGTAGGCGGTGTTCATGTACAATCAGAACTCCTTCTACAGTTCTCCTCATTCCAATTTTATCAAATTCTTCCCTCATGCGTTGAAATCTGGCTGCAACAGAGCTGTCCTTTTCATATAGGGGCTCTTTTGTGCCAAAAGTGTAATTGGTAAGAGGGTATCTATGATCCAAAGACAAACATCCAATTTAAAAAGAGCACAATGTCTTTATCATGACAGATACCAATTACATACACAGATTACAATTAAAACTGAGATCACAGTACTCAGAGATAAAGGATGTGTCAGAGTTAGTTAGTTAATAAAGACAGCAGAGATTTGAATACAGCTCACCACACTTAAAGACTTAACCTTCCACTACATCAAGATGCTACTCTCTATTTGAACTTTCAAGCCCAGGTAACAGCTTCTTCATAGTTCCTAAGTGCTTAGAGTAGTGGCTATGTGGTTACTTGGTAATCCTCTGGTTTTAGATTGTAGCTGGTATACAAGCTTGGAGCTAGCATTATCCATAATAACTTATATCTTATAATGACTCATCTAATCAGAAATCTTATTAACTAAGGGTACAAATAGTCAATCTCTTTCTCTCTATGGGATGAGGCACCATTTCCCATCAGTATCTCTCCAGTGATTTATTTCTTCCAGTCAGATTTTTCTGGCTCCACAACTCTTTCATGTTCAAATCAACTTTTCAAGAATTTTTTTTTCACTGTACATCTACAGAGAAGCCAATTTTAGCTTTTAGCATTTATTCTTCCAATACTTTTACTCTTCTCATCTCCTTTCCACTATCTTTTGTCTACCTCTTCCTCTATTCTTACTTTCCTAAGAATTCAAAATACAGGCAAAGGAGCTCTGATACAATAGTGCATAACATGAGAGGGTGCTAACCAATGGTAAGCAGTCTGGATCCACCAATCTTCAGGAGAAAGATGGGCATCTCCTATCATTAAGATGTACAGCATTGGAAACCGAATGGTAGGTCACTATGGACTGAATTGACTCTATAGCAATGGGTAGCAAAATTCAAATGTTTCCTTTAAAAGTCTGAAATCTTAAATTTACATTTTCATTTTATCATGCGTAACACTTAGTATTCAGAGTTTTAAAGAAAAAAGAGGATGCTGCATGGTTTAAAATCAGCAAAGGTATGAGGGTCATATATTTCCCCTATGTCTACTCAACCTGTACACCAGCAAATAATCCAAGTAGAATTACACGAAGAAGAATGCAGCATCAGGATTGGAGGAGGAGGCAATAAGCTACATTTGCAGGTGACACAACCTTGGTTACAGAAAGTGAAGACATGAAACGCTTACTACAGAGCATCAATATTGATTTTACCTCAACAATAGTAATTAAAAATTCTCACAATGGATCAATAGGCAGTATCATGATAAACGGAGAAAAGACTGAGGTTGTCAATAATTTCATTTTACTTGGATCCAGTGTCAACACCCATAGTAGCAGCACTAAAGGAATCCAAAGACGTGCTATATTGGGTAAATCTATTATCAAGGATCTCTTCAAAGTTCCTGATCCATGCTATGATATTTTCAACTGCTTCATATGGATATGAAAGTTGTACAATAAAGAAGACCAATGAAGAATTGATGCCTTTGATTTCTGGTGTTGGTGAAGAGTACTGAATATTCCCATCGTATAAAAAAAAGAGCAAAAGGTCTATTTTGGAATAAGTACAACCCAGGTGCTTTTTAAAGAATGATAAAACTATCTCACATGCTTTGGGCATGTTATCAGGAGGCATCCAACTGACTACTTCCTGGGTGAGTGGGTACCAACTCAAAGGTGACCTTCTATCAGGTCTCCAAAGCTGTAAGATACATGGGAGCAAATTGTGGTATTTCCTCAAAACTGCAGGAGGATTTGAACCACTGGGAGTGAGCTTTGAGTAAGCAGTCTAACTCCCTACAGAGTACCTCCCCAGGGCCCTCTGTCAGGAAGAGCTGTTGCTGTTAGGTGCCACCCAGCAGACTACAACAAACTGCTTTATAGAGATGACAAGACCTTGCTTGATGAAAATGAGGAGAACCTGAAGCGCTTACTGCAGAAGATCAAAAACTACAGCCTTCAACATAGATTCCGCCTCAACATCAAGAAAGCAAAGGTCCTTACCAATAGAAAATATGCAGTATCATGATAGATGGAGAGAGTATACTGAAACTGTCAACAACTTTATCTTACTTGGATCCGCAAACAACACCCTTGGTACCAGTAATCAGGAGATAAGGAGACATATAGCTTTGGGAAAGTCCACTGTTAGAGACCTCTCCAAAATACTGAACAATGTCAGTTTGAAGACTAAAGTGTGTCTGATTCAGGCCATGATCTGAGAGCTAGACAAAAAATAAGGATGAAAGAACAACTAAAGCCTTTGTGTTGGGGTATTGAAGAAGAGTACTGAATATCCTATGGACTATTACAAGAACCAATAGGTCTTAGAGTAGGTGCAGCCAGAGTGCTCCTTGGAGGTAAAGATGGCAAAGCTTCCCCTCTCATATTTTGGACACACTGCTATTCCTCGGAAAGGGTTATCATGCTTGGAAAGGTGGCAGGTCAACTAAAGGGATGAAGATCTCTAATGAGATAGACTGGACAGCAACTACAGCAATGGGTTCAAGTATATCAGAGATGAGGAGGATGGCACAGGATAGGACAGGCTTAAGGTGTGTTCATAGAGCTGCTGTAAGTCATACTCAACTACATGGTACCTAACATCTATCTTTGACCGCCTGGAACCACTGTTTCAAATCCTCTTTGCTTTCACAAAGTAAGGTTGTATCATCTGTATAAGGTGGTGACAGTCTTCCTAATGCCACATTCTTTTTCATAGAGTTCAGTCAGTATCTCAAATTATTTGCTTAGAATACAGATTTAATAGATATGGAGAAAGAATCCAACTTTGATGCACACTTTCCCTGATTTTAAATGATGCCCTGTTTGTTCTGTTTGGAAAATAGGGTTTTTTAAAAAAAAATTATTAATTTTAATGAACATTTACAGAGATTTTGGATTTCCATCCATTCATTGTTGTAGGAAAATAGCTTCTTGTTCGATATACAGGTTTCACAGGAACACAGTTCAGTATCCAAAGATTCCTGTTCTTCCCAATGTTTGCCACAATTTACTATGATCCACATACTCAAATATTTTATCAAATAATCAGTACAACACAAGTAAACGCCTTTTTGGTGCTACTTTCATCCAAGATCCTTCTGATATCAGTGGTGATATCCCCTGTCCCACAGCCTCTTCTGAATCCAGCTCGAATTTCTTTCCATGTACTCCCCTCCAATACTTTTTTAACAACCTTCAGTAAGATTTTACTTGCATGTGTTATTAATTATATCATTCGATAATTTCCACATTTTGTTGCATCACATTTCTTGGGAATGGGAACAAATACGGATCCCATACAGTCAGTTGGCCAGGCAGAAATCTTAATTAATCTTAATCTTAAATTTCTCAGCCTGGACTAGTGAGCACATTCAGGTCTGCATCTGTCTGTTGAAAACATGTCAACCGGAAAAAAAAATGTCAACCGGTATCCCATCAATTCCGGAGGCCTTATTTTTTGCCAATGCTTCAGTGCAGCTTGAACTTCTTCATTACTATTGGTTCTTGATCGTATGTTGTTTTTTGAAATGGTTCCGTGTTTACCAATTCTTTTTGGTTAGGCTTAGATTACATAATTTATGTCTAATACAGATTTTTACCCAACTTGGTCTTTAGAAACTATGTCAGTAAGTGATGAGAAAATATAAGAACTTCTCTAGAAGATCCAGCGTTGAAGTTAGCATTATTGGTATCAGCAACACCAAGAGCTGCCATACATTATTATGTTACAAAGAAAAAAATCTTCATACAGATGACCATTTAGGGAGCTCTGGTGGAGAAGTCTGTAGGGAGTTGTGTTGCTAACGCAGGCCTCTCCAGCCACTGAATCCACCTGTGACTCTGGAGAAGAAAGATGGACAATCTCCTCCAGTGTAAGAAACTCAATAGAAACTCTATGACCTGGTTCTGACTTAAAGGCAGTGAGTGAAAATTAACACTACCGAGGTTAAAAAAAACTAATGATAACCATAACATCTCGCCTGCAAGAGCCAATTCCCAGTTAGGAGATGTAAAAAACATGTCAAAAAATTTCAGCTGTGCAGTTCTAAGTGCCAGCCAGTCACATATACGTATATACATATATACATACACACACACACACACACACACACACACACACACATAATGCCCACCACACTCTGAGCTTCCAAAAGCAGAGCCCACATATTACTCCTGACATATCCAACACTGTGGACAGTCTGTGGAGTAACAGAGGTGTTGAGGCACCATTTACTTAAAAGAAAACACACTGGGCGAAGTGGCTTCTTTTAAATCGAGTAGACTGCATATTCACATGAAGTAAGTAGACACATATTAGCATTGCATTTATTTTAAAAAAAATCATTGTTGTCTAATCTGAATAGACTCACAGCTGCCCCTCCAGCAGTTTTTTTTGGGAGGGGGCAAATCTCATGGGTGGAGATTGCCCAACTTTCTCCTGAGAAGTCACTGTTGGATTCCAAGCGCCAGAGGGGTTTAGAATTGGGTTAGCGAGCTCTGGTGGCCTAGTGGCAAGAAGGTGTATTGCAATCCCCGAGATGCACGGTTCAAATCCACCAGATGCTCTGCTGGAGGAGGAACAATCTCCTCCTGTGCCAGTCAGATCTGATTTGACGGTACACACACACACACAAAATAATAAAAGAAAATAAAAAAACAAAGAATTGGGTTAGCAGCACAACTTCCTACAGATTATGCCACCAGAGCTATGTCATATGAGGAAAATTATAAATCTATCAACTCATCACCCTAATGTAGCAACAAATTATTTTAATATAAAACAGAAAAAATCTAAATTCTTACCAAAACACGAGTATCAGTAAATCCTTGCACCCTGGGAAGACTGACCATGAGTCAGTAACACACTATCAAGACAACAAACTCTCCAAAATAATAATAATAAAAACAAAATCAGAGGCAATTTCTTTAATAAAATACATCTCAAATGAAAATTACCTGTGTTTGAGGATGACTAGGAAACGCAATAGCTTGAAATGCTTAATCAGAAAGATGTTGAAAATAAAAAAAGCAGTCCTGAGACAATAAGCTTGTTAGTCCCCTCCAAAGTCTGAAACCCCAATCGTGATAGTACCTGTTCTACTGGAGTCTCCTGAGAACCTGGAGGTTATCCCTGCTGAAAAGGCTCAGCTGAATGTACAGGAAACGTGAATCATGACCAGATTAATTAAATGTGCCCTACTCTTAATAACAGGAGCACTGGTAGCCTACTGCTGGTACGAAGCCACACTGCAATCCCAAAGGCACCAGGCTACAATCCATCAGCTGCTCTGCTGGAGAAGGATGGGCAATCTCCTCCTGTGCAAGTTAATGCCTCTGAAAACCCGTTGCAGGGTCAGCTATGGGTCAGTTCAGACTCTAAGGCACATGACAACAACAACGCTTAATAAAAAACAGTATATACCTGTTAAAAAAGCAAAACCTGGATATATGTAGTCGACAATGAGCTCTAGAGTGGCAGAGATGATGAGGATGACCCAGGATCGGTTTCAGATCGAACATTCTAATATTCGCTATGAGTTGTACTGGACGCTATGGCACCTAATAACACAAAAATGCATAAAGTATTGAACTGCACACCAAAATGGTCAGTGGTTCAAATCTTCCAGCCCGTCTTCGGACAAAAATGTGCAATGTCCTCCCGAGACGACTTAAATCCCGGAAGCCTTAAGGAAGATGGTCCTGGGTCAGAATCAACCCGACAACAGTTGAGTGTTACGTATACTACGATTACATCCCGAAAATATATCAGAGACGAATGAATGCTGCCCAAATAATATTACAATGTATCGTTCACATTAAATAAAAGCACGCAAAACCATGGCATATACGTGATGTGAAACGGTAAGCATTGAACCACAAAGATGAATACTAGATTTCAAAATCCGCTACCTCTAGGGTGGGAAGCAGGAAAAGAATGAGTTGAAAGGAAATTTCAGTTCACCAACTGTGAGTTGTTTGGTTTTGGTTTATTTTTAATTCAAACAGACATTGCAATAAATGAGATGGGGGGGGGGCGGAAATGTCCTCCACCTGGAGTTAGAGGACAAGCTGGGGGTTTGCAATAACCAGAGAGGCGCAAACACCTAAAGGCGGGAGGCAGGCGCGGACGGAGAAAGCAGCCAGCCCACTTGCCGGGGGCGCGCCGGAAGAGGATGGGAGTCCTTACGGGTGCTTATGGGGATGCGGATGCCAGCGAAGGCCGCGCGCGGAGGCGGGCCGCACTTACAGGTTGATGGTGCGCTCCAGGGTGAGGGGCTTAGTTTGCTGGATGTACTTGTTGCCGAATTGGTTGACGCCCCGGGGCCAACCGGTCTGCGAGCGATTGGGCGGCACCACCGACATGTTGGCGAGCTTGGCCACTGGCGGCAAGAAGAAAGTGGGAGACAGGAAAAAGCTTCCCCGTGCGAGCAGCAGTTAACTGCGACCCGCTCAGCGGCCACCACCCGCCATTAAGATAAGCGCTCAAGAGGCGGTGTACGTACACCGGAAGTGCAGGAAGTCGAAAGGCGGTAGCCTGCCCTGCCAAACGCTATTGACTAGTGCTGTGGCCCAGCAGCCATATCCGAAGTTCTTATTGGTCACGCAGCCTAGGTCCCGCCTTCATTTATACGTCCCGCCTCCCGGTTGAACGTCGGCGCTGAGGAGCATGGGAGAGCTGTCATTCTGGGAATTGTAGTCTCCATAGAGAAGGTGCTGCTTGGTGCGTGTGGCGTGGTTCTGTGATCCATAAGGAGATGAGTGGGAAACGATCAGCAAAGTCCGATCCGGGCCAGATAAGGAAAAAGAAAAAGAAGGAACTGATGACGGAATTTTCGGAGGCTCTCATGGAGGAAACTTTGAAAAAGCAAGTAACTGAGACCTGGAGCCGCAGGATGTCGTTCAGTGACGGTAACCGGGTGCTTTTGAGGGCGGGACTTTGCGCTGGGAGCTGGGGGACCTTTGAAAAAAACCCTTAGATTCGAGCTGGGCTAGAACGGAAGCCTGTGCCTTTGGTTACCTTTGACACTCCTCTCTCGCCTGCAGTTCTCTTTCCTTCCAAATTCAGTTGGAATTTAGGACCTTGAGGAAAGGAAGGCCGAAAGTAAAGGGAAGGAGAGGGAAGTTTAGAGTTTGCTATTAGAATCTATCAATTAGATATAAAAAGACTGACTACATCACTGATCGGTAGGTGATTTAAGATGTTTATTAAAGCGTCACTTTTTAAAATGGGACCATTAACAATAATAGCATTTTCCTGAGAAGGTGGTGAATGGAATGGATGAGCTACGCATACATATGTACATCCATGAACGTTCTCTAACAAGCATTTGTAGAGGTTCTTGAGTGACTTATGTGACGTTTCCGCTCAAGTTTGTCCCATGATCGTCTAACTAGGACGTTTGTTGTAGGCTTCCATAAAACTGCGCTTGAGATGATTCATTTTGACATCTATAATGTAATTTGGCCTAATGGTAAGAAGCTGCACTGCAATCTCAAAGGAACGCGGTTCAAATCCACCAGATGCTCCTAGAGGAGAATGGGCTGTCTCCTCCCTGCAATTTACTGCCTCTGAAAACCCTCTGGAGAGTCACCTATGGGTTGGGTTCTGCCTGCACTGCAAACAGCAATAATGTGACAAGACAGCTCTGGTGGCCCAGTGAAAAGAAGCTGCATTGCCAACAGAAAGGCACGTGGTTCAAATCCGCTTGCTGTTGCTCCAGGAGAAAAGTTGGCACTCTCCTCCTGTTGGATTAACTACCTCTGCAAATAAGAGTGCAAAACAATAACATAATTTGACTCGTGAGCTCTGAAGGCCTAGTTTGTCAGAAGTTGGCTGACATTTAGAATCCACCAGCAGCTTCTCAGGAAAAAGATGGGCGGTCTCCTCCCGGACAATTTAGACCCTGTGAAAACTCGCTGGAAGCTAAGCTAGGCGTTGGTTCCAACTCTGGATGGCTAGGAGTAGAAGTTTTGATAGTGAGACCACAGAGGCATCCTGGTGTTGCAGTGGTTAAGCTGTCTGCAGGTGGAGAAACTTGGCAGTCTTTCTGGGAAGATTACAAGGAAGGAAACCCTGGTTCTTTTATTACATAAGGTCTCTGTAAATCGTGATTAATTCCAGGGCACACAACAAAAACGGTGCAGTTTGACTAGTAAGCTCTGAAAACAGGTTGCGTTGAATGAGGAACAAACTCAGTACACAATAATTCCATCTGTGGCTACAATTAGCAAATAATACATAACACAGAGATTCTGTTTAATGTGTCTAGTGTTTCCTTCCAAAGGATTTTTGTTTCCGTTATTAAGCACTCTAAAGAGGGTTCCTGTGTGCTCTGTAGAAAGCGATAGCTTAGTTTTTATTTTTAAAATGTCAACTCTGAACGGTCTCAGAAATTGCTGTTTCTCTATGCATTGCGGAATAGGGATGAGACTGCTTCAGAGTTGATGAAATTAAATGAGATGCTAAATGTAAAATTCATCATAACTGGCATCTGTGAGAATGACCCAGGATCAGACAGAGTTACAATTTGTTGTACAGTAGTTCCCTGTGAGTTGGAGCTGACTCCAGGGCACCTAGCAACAGCATGTATTCTAGCCAATTAACAGTAATGCTATTGAGATAGAAATCAAGGAATTTAGGGTCATACTTCACCCCCATTTTTAAAAAATAAGTATGTACATTGTAGCTTCCCCTAACAGTAACTTGATGAACAACAACAACAAAAATACTGCTCTCACTTTTAAGATTAAAGAAATAAGACTTTTATCTAAAACTGTGTTCATACTGTCCTTCCGTCCTCTCGCCATCTCTTTCTCACATTGCCTTGAGTCATAATCAACACATAGCAGACCCTTCAGCAGGTTTTCAAAGGCCTGGGAGAGTGTCCGTCTCTCCTTTAAAGCTGCTGGTGTGTTCAAACTGCCTTTAGGTTAACAGCAAAGCTCCATATGGACTACACATTCAGTTACTAAATAATTGCTGAGCTTAAAGAAAGACAAGAGCTTGAAGAGAGTTGCATGTACTCATCTTAAGGACTAAATTTTTAGTATCTTTTAAAAGATATCTTTAGAGAAAAGAATGATGAGGCTCTGCCTCACATACTTTGGACATGTTGCTGGAAGGGGCTATTCCTTGGAGAGGGACATGATGCTGGGAAAGTGGAGGGTCAGCAAAGGAGAGGAAGACCCTCAACCGGGTGGATTGACACAGTAACTGCTGCAATGGGCTCTTGTGTGTCAGGAAGTGTGAAGATGGCACAGGATAGAGCAGAGTTTCCATCTTTTTGTTCAGAGGGTTGCTACGAGTTGTACTAGACTCAACGACACCTAATAACAAAAACAACAACATCTTTTAAAACTAGTGTTGAGTTGGTAAAGAAGAAAATAATAAGACTTATAATCCTTCCTGAAAATTTCCGCTTTAGATACTAGGCTCCTCAAAATTCAAGAGTGTGTCCTTTCATATTCTCTTTGTGATGATAGTTGGGGCCAAAAATACAAGAGCGGAAAAAAAGATGATGTTTTCTTTCCAACAGAAGCCATTGTCCTGGACATGGACCCCTTTCTTCACTGTGTGATCCCAAACTTCATCCAAAGCGAAGACTTCTTAGAAGGGCTTCAGAAGGAACTTTTGAGCTTGGATTTCCATGACAAGTGTAATGATTTATATAAGTTCCAGCAGGTATTTATGCCATTACGTTAGCTCTACCACCTCAGAAATGAATCACCTCCAACATCATTCAATACCTTAGTCTTAAGATTTTAGATTGTGTTTGCCTGAAGGGTCCTTGCACGGTCATTGTTCAAAACTTCCCCTTGGCTCCCTGGATATGAGACTCTTTGACAGTCTTATTCTGTAAGACCAGTGACTTATTCTGCAAGTGATAGTGACTGAGAAAGAGATAGTAAAAAATTACTTAATAATAAGTATATTATAGACAAAACAAAGAAGTATATTTCTTTTTTTTTTTTTTCTTCATTTTACTATTTTGTGTGTATGTGTACCATCAAATTGGCTCTGACTGGTACAGGAGATTGTTCTTCTTTCTCCAGCAGAGCATCTGGTGGATTCGAACCACATGCCTCTGGGATGGCAGTGTAACTTCTTGTCACTACGCCACCAGAGCACCCTTAAAGAAGTATATTTCTAAGTTATAAAAGATTTGCTTGTTGGAAGATAATAACTTTTCTTTAAAATCTGAGTTCACTTTTTCTTTCAAGGTGGCTCATTGATGTATTACAGTATGCTCTGTAATTTAATATTCTGTAGAGAAAGGAAAATGTATAACAATGAATCAATGAAGCCCAACCTTTCTGTAAACTTTGATTAAAATCACACTTAAAATTTTAAACTTTTTTTAAATTTTACTATTTTTTTGCATGTGTTCCATCAAATCGGATCTGACTGGTACAGGAAGAGATTGCCCCTCCTTCTTCAGTAGAGGATCTGGTGGATTCGAACCGCATACCTCTGGGATTGCGGTGTACCTTCTTGCTAGTAGTCCACCAGAGCTCCCTGACAATTAAAATTTTTAAAAAACATATATTCCTTGGAGAGTTAGAGTCATTTCTCCACCCCACCCCTTTTTTTAACAATTTAATGTTGCAGAAAAGATTTTCCAAGAAATCAAGTCTGGTTTTTCTTCTCTGAGAAGGCAGGACCCAGTCTACGTGTAGATAGAGGATATCAATCCCCCAACTTTGGAGGGTATCTGTCAGTACGTGGCACATCAGCACTTTAAAAAAAATCACAAAAACATTACATAGAGACTGTGACAATGTTGCAAGATTGACCAAGGTTCTGAGAGGTTGTTCCTAGGATCACTTATGGCACCTAACAATAACAACATTTTTGGCAGAGATTGAATCACTTACAGGATTGCATGTTGAGGAGCCTTGCCTTGAGGGCTCTACCATTCTGTTAGACTAGTATCTAAACCTGGTCTTAATGATTTTAAGTTTTGCTATTCTGCTGGAAATCTCTGCTAGCTCCCATTTCTTTAGTAAAAGCCCAAGTACATAGAATGGCTCCAAGCCCTCCATTGCCTCCTTGGCCTCATCTGCACTCTCTGCAGTAGCCACATAGCCCCCCTGCGATTTCTAGAATAGATCAGGCATGTGTCACTGACTCCTCTCTGCCTGCTTATTTCCCCTGGCACACTTCAGTACCTCCTTCAAGACAAGGCTTCACCTCAGTGAAGTCTTACTCTGTCTGATTCCTTCCTTTAAGATTGTAAACTCCCTGCCATTCTCAGTATTCCCAGTCCCTCTTATTTTATTGAGTATCTCCCCCCTGATGTGTTTATCACCTTCATGTAGTACAATATCTACTTTTAATTAGTCTGTTTTCCTAAAAAAAATAATTCAAGCTTAAAAGTATTTCTTAAATTAATGAGATACATAGAAGCTTAGTAACTTGCCCGGGTTAAACAGCTGCCAGTAGAGGGATCGTCTAGCTAACGTGGGCAGTTTACCCTTAGAGTTCAGATTCTAAACCACAGGGCAAGTGTACTCACTAAGTTACTCTTCTCTGTGTGTTTAATATAAAAAAGTAATCTTTTTTTTTCTTTCTTTCTTTTTCCATGATCAAGTCAGATGACTTAAAGAAGAGACAAGAGCCTCACATCACTGCTTTAAGGTAAATTATTGATCATGTTTGTCGGCTCTTTAACATGTACCTGGGTGTCTCTGCTCCTTGTCTGTCGACAGATTGACCTCTCTTCTCGTGCAGCCTTAGCTGCACCCCTGAGACTTGATGGTGAAGGTCAGACTAAATGGATTTGGCCATGTTGGATGCCTGGTCACTGGGGCTGCTTTTAACTCTGGCAGAGTGGATGGTGTTGCCATCAATGACCCCTTCATTGACCTCTACATGACCCCTACATGGTCTATATGTTCTAGTATGATTCCACCCTTGTCAAGTTCAATGGCACTGTCAAGGCTAAGAATGGGAAGCTTGTCATCAGTGGGAAAGCCATCACTATTTTCTAGGAGTAAGATCCTGCCAACATCAGGTGGGGTGGTGCTGGTGCTGAGTATGTTGTGGAGTCCACTGGTGTCTTCACAACCTTGGAGAAGGCTGGGGCTCATTTGAAGGGTGGTGCCAAAGAGGTAATCATCTCTACTCCTTTGGCCAGTGCCCCTATGGTGATGATTGTGAATTATGAAAAGTATGGCAACTCTCTCAAGATTGTCAGTAATGTTTCCTGCCCCACCAACTGCTTGGCCGCCCGGCCAAGGACATCCATGACAACTTTGGCATTGCACAGGGACTCATCACCACTGTCCATGCCAACACTGCCACCCAGAAGACTATGGATGGGCCCTTTGGAAAGCTGTAGCGTGATGGCTGTGGAGCTGCCCAGAACATCATCCCTGCCAATTCTGGCACTGCCAGTGCCATGGGCAAGGTCATTCCTGGGCTGAATGGAAAACCTCCTGGCATGGTTTTCCATGGCTGTGCCCGCACTGAGTCAGCTGTGGATCTGACCTGGAGAGAGCTGCCAAATATGATGACATAAAGCAGGCATCAGAAGGGCCCCCCTCAATGACATCCTGGGATACACTGAAGACCAGGCTGTCTCCTGTGACTTTAACAGTGACACCCACTCTTCCACCTTTGATGCCCTGAACGACCACTTTGTCAAATTTATTTCCTGGTATGACCATCAATTTGGCTCCAGCAACCAGGTGATGGTTCACATGGCCTCTAAAGAATAAGAGCCCCTTGGACCACCAGCCCCAGTAATAGCACTAGAAGAGAGAGAGAGACCCTCAGCTGCTGGGGAGTCCTTGCCCCAACTTTGATCCTCCCACACACTGAGAATCCCACATCCTTGACACAGTGTCCATCTAGTCTCCCTGAGAAAGGGGAGGGGCTTGGAGAGCCCATCTTGTCATGTACCATCAATTAAAAAAAATGTACCTGGCCGCGTAGTAAGCACTTTAAATCTTAATGTCTTATCATGTTTGTTGACATTATCCTCATTCTTTAGAACAAGAAATAGCCTCCCTCTGAGAAATGGAGTGCTTCCTTCAAAGTTAACCAGTTGCCATCAAGCTGATTCCAACCACGGCTGCTCCATGTGTTATAACGCGGTCATGTGTGTTAGGAGAACCATGTTCCGTCTCCCATGTTTGTCATAGCACGATGGTCTGTAGGGTCTTCAGTGGCAGGTTTTTCAGAAGTAGATTGCCTGGCCTTACTTCTGAGGCACCTCGGTTGTGAACTCAAACTCCCACCCTTTCGGTTAGCAGCCATGCATGTTAACCATTTGCACCATCCAACGTCTCCTCTTCAAGATTATTTTAACTAAATCTAGAACTAGGTAAGAAACAAAGCCAAGTTTGTCTGATCCCAAGACCCAGATTCTCAATAATAGTCAACATTGTTGATATCAATAAAATACAAATTAGATTTTTTACATGTTAAACTGGAAAATGCTAAAAACTAAAGCCCGAGTGTTGATGAATGTGGTTACCTTCATCCACGGCTGCAGTCTTTCATAGAAAGTGGTTTTTAAATATGTATCAAAACCCTTAAAATTGTCTGCATGTTTTTTGTAGAATAATTGTGCTTATGAGAGTATAACCTGCAAATATAAGAACATGCTCATGGATTTCACAATGAGATTGTTGTAATGTTATTTCTAATGGTGGGAAAAAAATTTTTTTTCTTTTCCAAAAAAAATTTTTATTTTCAAAAAAATATTTGATCTCCGGTTGAAACATACAAATAACGGTCTAAGATGTAAAGGGGAAATTATCACCATTGAATGTGTTTGAATTCTAAAGCATAGATGTGGTAAAGTTGTACCGTACTTCATTAAATTAAAGATTTATTATGCTTTTTTTATGTTTTGACAACTCTGAAATCCAGGTGTCTTCATAATCACTGTGTCGTAGTGTAATTGGCAATGGTTTTTGTTTAGTGATATATAAGTTGATGGTATAATAAAAGGCATCTAAGACTCTAGCTGGTTGGATTAGAGGGTTTTAAAACAGGATTTTTTTTTTAACTTACATAGAGTTTTTTCCATTTTTCTACACTAGCACAAGTCACTCTGTAATATTTATGAGCTTTTTTTCTTTTCTTTTCTTTTTTTTTTTCACTCTGTGACATTTCTATTTATCCTAGAAGCCTGCTCAGGCTAGTTTTTCCTAAAACCCTTAAGTATTGCTGATGCATTAGCTGTAATTTCAAATTTTACATGTATTTAGTTTTTCTTTTTCAAAAGAGAAATGCTCATGCTCAGTTACCCTACTAACTCACTATACCCCTGTGGTAACCACCTCATATGAGACTTGGTTATATTTCACCCCAGGAGGCAGTAGCCACATGGTGAGAGTAGAAATCCTGAATCATTACAAGAAGTTGCTAATCTTTTCATTTCCCACTTGGGCTTTGCAGTTTATTTATGCATACAAGTAACAAATGGGAATAATGACAGGAAATGAACTTGTCTTATAAATAAAATCAGTAGAACAACTTGTGAGGGGAAGAATTTGTGGAAGCTGATGTTACCAGTTGAAGGATTTAAGGCTTTGGTAAAGCATGATGCTTTTGCAGAAATGTTTCTTGCCCGTATCATGTGACATCTGGCTCAGCAGTTTCATACTGTGGCCCATTCTATATAATTAGCAACTGTGCTTTTAAACATTTCATGGTACTTCTGAGTGGACTGAGTGAGCACAATATTTTATAGAATTGTTTGGGAGTATAGAATAAAAAAGTAATTGGTCATAAAATCTTAGGGCTTAATCTGAAGACTTGATATTTAGCTGTGAACAGAAAGATTGAATTTTATGGGAATTTCAACTATGTACATTTGGGCTAACATGATGATCAAAAAATATTCGTCAGATTTCTTTACATGTAGTATTTGAACTAATATAAATCCTTTCAAAATGTTTTTAGTTCTCCAAGGATAACATTTCAAAGTTGATTGTGTTGTAAATTGTGTTAAAGAGATTTCTACACAGAATATTTTTAACTAGTAAATGGAAAAGCCTATCGTCTTTTTTATTGATGTTCTGTTAGCGTCAAAACTTCTGTGCGTGGTTTTCCTGATTATTATAAAGCTAGTTTAATGGCCATCATTATTTCATTATGCGGTGTCACTGAGACAGCCATTTGGTGATGTCAGGAGGAAGTCTGTTAGGCCACATAGATGGCGTAGTCAGGAGGTGGGGGGGGGTAGGGGACGGTGCCTTGCTAAGTCCTAGGCTGTGACTCTTGCGCAGTTGAAATATACCAGTGGCCCCTCATCAGAGAGGTAGGCACTCTACTCTAGTGTAACTTACAGCCTTGGAAAACCCCAGGGAGGGGGTCAGCGTGAGTCAGTTCTGACTGGACATTAATGCGTTGTTTTTAGTAGTTGTTTAGACATACTGAAAAATACATCTACAGATTAGTAACCTTGGAAGAGAACTTTGGTGTGGCCAGTTATCATGAAGAAGGTCAAACCACTGCCTTGATAGCCGTACTGTAAAAATGTTGGTTACCACTGAGTGGATTGTTATTAGTTCCACTGAGTTGATTCCACTGCATGGTACCACAGGTGTGCAGGGCAGAGCTAAGGTTCTCAAGGGTTTGACCTTTTTTGTACCACTCAGAGACTCTATGTTGAATTTAGACGGAAAAAATAAAGCAAATGATTAGAACAAACGGATGTTACATCAATTCATTTCTCCAGGAAAGTGAAACATAACCTAGGCAGTATCATGATGGATGGAGAGGAAGTTGAAACTGTCAACAGCTTTATTTTGCTTGGATCCACAATTGACACCCTTGGTACCAGCAGTAAGGAGAGATGGAGATGAGTTGCACTGGGAAAATTTGCAGTTAGGTACCTTTCCAAATTATTGAAGAGTAGTGACGTCAGTTTGAGGACTAAGGTGCGTCTGACTCAGGCCATAGTCTTTCCAATTACTAGCTATGCATCTGAGACCTGGACAGTGAATAAGGATGATGGAAAAATAATTGATGCCATTGAGCTGTGGTGTTGGAGAAGAGCACTGAACATCTGTTGATGGCCAACAGAATAGACAGATAATGTCTTGGAGATGGTGCAACCAGAGTGCTCTTTTGAGGCAAGAATGATGAGGCTTCACCTCACATACTTTAGACATATTGCTAGGAGGTGCTATTCCTTAGAGAGGGACGTGATGTTGGGAAGGGCAGGGTTCAGATCTTTTGTTCACAGGGTCGCTGTGAGTCATGCACGACTCAGTGGCACCTAACAACAACAACATGCAAGTTTAAACTGAGAAACATTCTTAAAACTGAATTTCTTTAATAAAATATGGTCCCCAGAAAGAAATCATATGGCGTCGATTTAAGTAGAGTTCACATTCTGGTGTAACTGTAGCCTGTTATTTCTATTTCTAGGAAAGTTCTATTTGAAGATTTCAGAGTCTGGCTTTCTGACATTTCAAATATTAAGCTGGAACCAACTGTTGATATGTTCTGTGCTAAATATGAATTCACAGGTAAGAAAAGGTGGCATCAGTGTACAAAATACTGGACTGTATGGCCTTCTACAGCATGGAGAAAGCCGCAGTTTTTCAGAGTGTAAAGTCGACAGTGTAAGCCCTGACAGTGCCTTCCACCTGCCGGCCTCCTCTTTTCCGAGGTGTCAACTGTCGCCATTTTGGGATGCATCCTTCCACTTCCCTTTATGAGCATATAAATGCCTTTTTGAAAGCAATTAACTTTAGTTTTTCACTTAGAAGAAAAAACTGGGTTTTTAAAAATTTGGTTTTTTCTTGGTAAATAAAACTGATTTGGGTTTATTCTTGTATACTGTTCTAAGGAAAGAACTTTTTTCCCCCCATTTAATTTCATTATTTTTGTGTGTGTGTACCGTCAAATCTGATCTCACTGGTAGAGGAGGAGATTGTCCCTCCTTCTCCAGCAGAGCATCTGGTGGATTCGAACTGCACACCTCTTAGATGGAAATAACTTTTTAAAGACAAGTTGGTGATTAATATGAAAAGCCATGTTATATACATTTTACCTTCCCTCCTTTCAATCTGAAAAAAAAATTCCATTTACAGAAAAGTAAACCAGCACAGGAGAAGGCATTTTTCCCCCTGTACCACATGACAGAGTCGATTGCTGAACTACTCTGTGATCCTGAATACTTAAGTAACTCCTGTAAAGGCATTCTTCTACATTAGATTAATAAATGCCCCCGAATCAGGATATTCTCTTTGATACATTATTACCCCTACCCCACATGCCCTATTCTCATTTCGTTATATAGTCCATGATAACAGAAGGATTCTGTCCAGAATGACACATTCTGTGTGGTCATCAGCCTTTATTAGTCTTCAGTCCACACCTACTCTCAGCCTTTCCTTGATCTTCATGGTTGGGCTGCTTCTGAAGATTGAGAGTTGAGCTTGGTTTGTAAAACTTAACTTCAGTTAGGGTTTGTCTGATCCTACCTTTCAATTAGATTTCAATGTGCCTGTTATTAGTGATGTTACATATGATCTCTTGATTAAGGTAGTTTCCTCCAGGTTCTTCCATTTGTTAAGTTCCTCTTTTCCCCCTCTATAAGTTAAGTGTTTTGAGGGTGGGGAGAAATACTTCAAGATTAGGTAAATATCCCACCTCTCATCCATTTTGATTTACTTCTTTTAGTATCTGTAGATGTTTCTTGTTATGATGATTGCCAGAAAATCATTTTTTAATACAATCATTTCTTCTGTGTTTATGACTTGTCATTCATCTGTAAAACTGTTCTCTCCCCATTTAGTCATTCATTTATGAGAGGATGGGCCACTGTTTTCCGTAGTGCGCTGTTAAACTTGTTGATTGCCTTGTTAACCGTTGCCTTCATTCCGCTGTTGCAGACGCCCTGCTCTGCCACGACGATGAACTTGAGGGACGCCGCATTGCCTTCATTCTTTATCTGGTTCCTCCCTGGGACAAGAGCTTGGGAGGCACCCTGGATCTGTATAATGTTGACGGTAAGAGACGTCCAAGCCCTTAAAAATAGTGGTCACTCCTGAGGTAAAATTGAGTTGCGTCAGCATCACCATTCTTAAATACACTATCTGCATTCCTCAGAGATGACAGGAGCCATTCATTACTGTGACTACCTCAGAAGAAATTAACGTTAGCCACAGCAGCCGCCTCCCCGAGTTGTACTTGATATAATCATTTCTTTTCTTTAGAGGTAAATTGCTGTTATGTGCCATTGGGTCGAGTACAATTTGTCATCACAGACACACATGAGCCCATTGCTGCATTCACTGTGTCAGTCCTTCTCATTGAGGGTCTTCCTCTTTTTTGCTGACCTTCCCACCTTTGAAAACATGATATCCCTTTGCAAGGAACAGCCTCTTGTAATAACAGATCCTAAAGTTTGTGAGATGAGACTTTGCAATTAGATTGGATTTAAAATGAGGAATAATCAGAGCCTGCTTCTGGATATAGATTCAGAAAGCACAGAAAGCTGCCCGTGGCTGTGAATCTGCCAGTATCAGTCTGTTTGATGGAAGGTCAGAGGTTTTTTGAATGACTGGCACCAGAGCTGCCTACAGAGACCTCATCAATCATGGATAATGTAGTGAGAAGGATATCGCACAAAAGAGCCAGCAAAAAGGAGTGAACCACATGGTGGAGGGTGGTCCTTCAAGATATCGATCCTTCAGGATTACTCAGAGTGAACTGTGGAGATTTGACAGTGATTAATAATAATGAACTACATTCAAGGATGTTTTCTTTCCCGAAACAGCAAACCTGCAGCCGAAGCAGATTGTCAAGTCTCTTGTCCCCACGTGGAACACGCTGGTTTTCTTTGAAGTGTCTCCAGTATCCTTCCACCAGGTAAAGGTTGCCAGCCACAGAGACATCGGATACTAACACTGTGCTTTCAAAAGTCACCTGCTATTTCAGTATTAAAGTTTTCTGTCAGACTTGTGGTTGGCCCAGGTTGTGTCCACGTCTAGCCTGAAGGATAGTAGAACGAATGTGTGTTGGCTGGTAATCACCATCTGTATCACTTGGATCGATGTGTTAAATCTTGTGCTTCCAGGTGTCTGAAGTCCTTTCGGAAGAAAAATTGCGCTTGTCTGTAAGTGGTTGGTTTCATGGCCCTTCGCTGACCAGGCCCCCCAGCCACTCTGAACCACTCATAACGCGGAGCCCTCACATCCCTCAAGATGTAAGATTAAATTCCCATTTTTGCTGCTTTACTTTAATCTTTACTAAGATTGAATTCCAATTATTAGAATATTAAATTCCAATTGGTTTTGGTTTTATTTTTTTTAACTTTATTTTAGTATTTGTGTGTGTGCGTGTACCGTCAAATCAGATCTGACTGGTACAGGAGGAGATTGCTCCACCTTCTCCAGCAGAGCATCTAGTGGATTTGAACCACACGCCTTTGGGATTGCAGTGCCGGCTTCTTGCTACTAGGCCACCAGAACTCTCTTTAAATTCCCATTGGGGCTTTTTTTTAAGTTTTATTATTTTTTGGGTGTGTACTGTCAAATCAGATCTGACTGGTACAGGAGGAGATTGTCCCCCCTTCTTCAGCAGAACTTCTGGTGGGTTCAAACTGCGTACCTCTGGGATTAGCTTCTTGCCCCTAGGTGACCAGAGCTCGCCTAAATTCCAATTGTTTTAAGAGCCATAGCATAGTATTCATTTATGGGATAATGAAACTGGACTTTGAGCTTGCCTGGTATGAAATGATGGAAGAACAAACGCCGTAAGCATCATTCACTTACCTTTTGCATTTGCTGCTTCTTCATAAGCATGAAATTCTGTATGAATGGATCAACCCTGTTTACTTGGACATGAATTACCAACTTCAAATTCAAGAGGAGTTTGAAGAAAGCTCTGAAATTCTCCTAAAGGATTTTCTCAAGGTAAGCACTATACCGTGGGCTATATCTCCTGTTTAGCACACAGTCTTACTTACAGGTTTGGGTGAATGGGCATCACTAAGAGACCATTGGTTTTTGGTTTTTGTTTCGTTCTTGGCAAGTTCTCTTCTTCAAATAAAACATAGAAATGATGATAGTAGCTGACATTTGCTACAGTTGTATGCTTAGTGTGTGCAGAGTTGTGTGGGCATGCCCCTTTATCTGGAATCTTAATGATGAACACACACATAGGCACACACAGGAGCTTCCACATTGAGAGCGAGCTCTGGCTTCCAGTTGTGTGCCATCTAGTCAATTCTAGTCCAGAGTGACCCTAAGTGATGTCGCCTTATATGGTTTTCTAGGCTCTAATGTACAAGACCAAAGAACAGCCTTCAACATGGATTGCATCTCAGTGTCAAGAAAACAAAGATTCTTAACTGCTGAACCTATAAGCAGCATCGTGATAGATGGAGAAAACATTGAAACTGTCAACAACTTCATCTTACTTGGTTCCACAGCTAACACACTTGGTACCAGCAGTCAGGAAATCAGGAGACGTATTGCACTGGCAAAGTGTGCAGTTAGGACCTCAACAGATTACTGAGGAGTAAAGATGTCATTTTGAGGACTGAGGTGCATCCGATTCAGGCCAGGGTCTTTCTGATCACTTGCTGTGCATCTGAGAGCTGGACAAGAAATATGGGGGACAGAAAAAGTGATGTCTTTGAGCTCTGGAGTTGGAGAATACTGTTAAACATCTTTTGGACTGGCAAAAGAAAAAAATACGTCTTGGAGAAGGTGCAGCCAGAATGTTCTTTAGAGGCAAAGATGATGTTTCAACTCACTTACTTCAGTCATGTTGCTAGGAAGGGCTGGACAGGGACAGGAGGCTTGGAAAGGTGGAGGAGAGAGAGTCCCTCAGTCAGGTGGATTGACACAGTAACTGCTGCAGTGGGCTCTTGTGAGTCAGGAAGTATGAGGACAGGGTTCTAATCTGTTGTTTATAGGGTCGCTATAGGTCGTACCTGTCTTGAAGGCACCTAACCATCTACTAAAGCAAGGCAGTGGGTCCCTTCTCCCTCAGAGCCACTCGTGAGTTTGAACTGCCAGGTTTCAGTTAGAAACCAAACACTTAAACCATTGCACCATCAAGGTTCGTATCTGTATACTTAACCAGTTCTGTTTCTGTGATGACTTTAGTGGTTTTTACTTAAAATAACAAGATATTATTTAAAGAATAATACCTTTAAATGAATGCTTGACAAAGGTGAGGCAGTATATTTATAGTGAAAATAGAATTGGAAGTCATGTATTTGTGTCTTAGTTTTGCTTTAACATGAGAAAATAATCTGTTTTAGCTTCTACTTCTTTTTTATTTAATCGGGATAGTAACTGCCTAGCCTATCTGAGGAGTTGTGAGGACAAATTGAGAGCACAGAAAGTCCAATGCTTCATAGTCCTTCATGAGTCTCCTCAACTCCTTGTCCCAAGAGCATTTCTTCTGTACCGCCTCTCAGAAATTTGTAGGTGTCATTTGCATAATAAAGAGTTTGGGAAGAATTAGGGCAAATAAACTTGTTTAACCAGATTTACTTTGGCGTATTTAAATCATGCTACAAGTCCTCTTTCACATATTTGCAAGTGATAGAATACTCCCTGGAGACACTTTGCAGTAAATAAAAAGTATAAGGCCTATTATGGAGAATATTTCAATAGATTTAGCTAGTTTACTGTCCTGGACTTGACGTAAATAGAGAATGCTGACTGAGTGAGGGAATGAGCCAGGGCCTCAAGAATCCAGATGTATTCAATGTAGTAAGATTGATCACTGCACTTGTCTGTGCTCATGTGAAACCTATGCAAAGATCAAAGCTGTTGTCCAAACAAAGCAAGAGAACACTGCCTGGCTTAAAAATCGGGAAAGATATGCCAGAGTTATAGCCTTTCTAATTTTTTTTTTTGTTTTTAAATTGAGATTTAATGAAAGTTTCTAGAGAACTTGTCTCTCCATTCATTCATTGTTGCACATTTTCCTCCCTGCCAGTTTGCTTTTCTCTTTGGGGAAAAAAAAATTATTTCATTTTTGTGGGGTTTTATCCTTTCTCCCTACCTATTCAGTCTGTATTTTGAGCAAATAATTTGAGAAACTATAAAAAAAGAATATGGTATCAGAATTGGAGAAGACTCATCAACAGCCTGTTTTATGCAGATGATAAAACTGTTTGCTGAAAGTGAAGAGGCCTTCAAACACTTAGTACTGAAGAGCAATACAAATTGCATTTTAATATCAAGAAAACAAAAATCCTCATCACTAGATTAATAGACAACTCCATGATAGAGAAAACATTGAAGTTGGCAGTTACTTCCCTTGGCTCTATAATCAACACTCATGGTAACAGCAGTCACAAAATGAAAAGATGTTTTGTATGGGGAAAATATGCTGTCAGAGATGTCACCAAAATGCTCAAGAATAAAGATGTCAATTTAAAGACTAAGGCCATGATATCTTCATTTGCTTCTTATGCATCTGAAAGTTGAACAACAAAACGGATAACATAAGAATGACTGATGCCTGGTGCAACCACTGTGGAAGGCGGTATGGCGCTTTCTCAAAGAGTTGCAAATAGAGATACCATTTGACCCAGCAATTCCACCACTGTGAATATACCCCAAAGAGACCATAACTGCCATCCAAGCAGATATATATGCACACCCATGTTTATTGTGGCTTTGCTCACTATAGCAAGGAGTTGGAAACAACCTAAGCGAATGGAGAGAGAAGCTGTAGTATATTCACACAATGGAATACTACGCTGCATTGACAAACAAGGAACTCATGCAATATTATTCAAAATAGGTGACCCTGGAGGACATTATGCTGAGTGAAGTATCTCAGTCACAAAAGGACAAATATTGCATGGTGCCACTGTTGTAAAATAGGACTGACCTTGGGGTTGGGGGGAGACTGAGAAAGATGGGTTCAATAATGTATACTGCATTGAAACATATGAGGGAGAAAACTGTTTAAGAGAGATATGTGATTAGGTATTTTTGTCATGACAGGAGTCTAGAGCGAAGGCTGCATAGTGGAGTGAACCTGGGGGGAGGGATTGTAAAACAATGAAAGAATTTTTCTTTTACTTTTCCAAGAGGGTAGTGTACTAGGGGGGAGGGTTGGGAGGGGACAAAAGTGTAACAATGAAAGAATGGAAATCCAAAGTCTCTGTAAATTTTCATTGAAATTAATAATAAATTAAAAAAAAAAAAGAATTACTAATGCCATTAAACTGTGGTGTTAACAAAGAATCCTTACTATTCCATGGACTGCCAAAAGGGAAAACAAGTCTGTCTTGAAGGAAGTTCAACCTGTGTGCTCCTTAGAGACAAGGGTGGGGAAGCTTCATCTCACATACTTAGGCATGGTGTGAGGAAAGGCTTAGGGTCAGAGAAAGAAAAGAAGACCCTCTACAAATGGCGTGGCACAGTGACTGTAACAGTGGGCTCGAGGGTATCGGATGATGAGGGGGGCACAGGATAGGGCAAGGTTCAGATTTGTTTTTCCTAAGATTGCTGTGAGTCATAGTTGACTCAATGGCACCTAACAGCAACATACCAAAAATAAACTCACTGTCATAAAATAAGCTCCAACTCCTAGAAACCCTGCATCGGATTTCCGAGGCTGTAACTTTTTATGCAAAGAGCTTGCCCATGTTTCTGTCTTGGAACAGATAGTGGATTCGAACTGCCAACCAGTCTGTTACATAGTATACTGACAAGGCTTCTTTACATTGACTGTAATGCAGATTCACTTTTCCTCTCCTGTCTTTTGAGTAAAAGAATTTGCATTATGATCTTCATATTATAAAATGCAGGAATGTGAAAGGTGTAGCGATTTGACATAAAATTTACCACTTCTTAAAATAGTGGCCCATGCTGGAACTTGGGTCCTTTGGCTGAGGCACGCTGACAGTGTGTCTAGTGTAACCTGGCTTCACCATCACAAGTGGAAAGAAGCCTAAGTGTGTGAGGGGTGAGAGTCCGCTGGGCCTTTAAGGAATCAGGCAGACAGTGTCCTGCAGAAGTGCTGCATCTGCAGGACCAGTGTGGAATCATAGGCAGATTGGCTAACTGCTGCTTTGTTTGTTTGTTTTCTAGCCTGAGAAATTTGCAGAGGTCTGCAAGGCCCTGGAGAATGGAGATGTGGAATGGAGCAGCCGAGGTCCTCCTAATAAAAGGTAGAGCCTGTCACTCATGACGTTTGCCTTTCCAGGTTTGCTGATCTCATAGAGACTGGTGGAACCTGAGGCTTTGACGCTTAGTCAGCCTTCAGACCTGGTACAAAACTCGCCTCTGCGGCTCACCTTTCTCTTTAGAAATAGAGACACCTGTAGGTGACCAGTAACACCAGGGAGGCCCTCTGACCTCAGAACAGTCAGACATACAAGATCAAAAGGGCGGATTTGCCCAGAGATAAAACTGAGAAAGTAGAGGGAACTCTGGTGGCCTAGTGGCAAGAAGCTGCACTACAATCCCAGAGGTACGCGGTTCGTATCCACCAGATGCTTTACTGGAGAAGGAAGGACAGTCTCTTCCCATACCAGTCGGATCCGATTTGACGGCACACACACAAAAAATAATTAAAAACAAAAAACTGATAAAGTAGAAAGGGGTTCTTGCTGCTATGGCCTGTTGAGTCAGGATCAAGCCCAAGCTGACCCTCCACATGGGTTTTCAGAGGCAGATAATAGCACAAAAGGAGATTCTTTTTCTTCCACAGGTTAACTGGTAGATTTGAACCACTTGCCTTTGGTTTGGCAGCACAACTCCTTACCATTAAGCCACCAGAGCTCCTAGAAAGGGGTAGGATAAAAGAATTAATGGAAATGGGAGAGCCACGGGGAGGAATGTCAGAAAACAAAACCAAAATATTTACAAATGGGAAACCAGTTTCCTCTGTAAATTTTTACTCCAGTTACAGAGAGAGAGACACAAAAGGTCATTTGCCATGTTTTCTTGTCACCAAGGACAATCAGCAGGCCGTAATAAAAATTCACTGTCCTAACAAGAAGTTCTTGTTGGACTATGTCAAAATTTAAGGGGGGGAGTTAATGATCAGCTTTAACTTCATAAGTCATTTTCTGTCCGTGGTTTTGATGAACAACTCAACATTGCTACTTTCTAGGTTTTATGAGAGAGCCGAGGAGAGGAATCTTCCTGACATACTGAAAGGCTGTATGAAGTTGTTTTACTCCGAAGCACTCTTCTTGCTGCTCTCCAACTTCACAGGCCTGAAGCTTCACTTCTTGGCCCCTTCAGAAGACGACGAGGTTCAGGATGGAAAGAAGGAAGCAGCAGCATCCGCCGCCAGTGGCACTGAAGGGACCAGCCACAGCTCCTCAGAGCCCGAGGACAATCAGACGGCCAGGAACACCACCAGCCAACAGGACGATGGCCAGACAGACTCGGAACCAGAGAGAAACGAAGCAGGGAGAGGTAAGATGCCATGATTTGGCTTTCTTGCCAGTGAGCAGTCAGTATTTAATCATTTATTCACTCGACTCATATTTCCTGAGACCTAGTGGGTGCTAGGCCCTTTTACAGGAGCTGGAGAGCAAAGCAGACAAAACCAGATGGTACAAGAGAACCTGAGCAGAGAGAAGCTAGGGCAACAGGAAGGGATGCTGAAAGAAGAGAGCCAGACAGACAATTTCAAAGGGCAGCTCAAGAAGACAAAGTATTACAATGTGTAAAGACTTGGAAAACCACAAGAGGAAAACATAGCTTTTCTCAAGTTGAAAGAACTAAAGAAAAAAAAATCAAGCTTCAAGTTGAATATTTAAGGATTTCATGAGTAACAATACTACATTGTCAGTGTACAGTGTCAGTGTACACCCCCAAAAAGAGTTAGTCTACACTAAGCCATTTCAGGAAGTAGCATATGTTCAAAACCCAGTAATACTGAAGGAAGAAGTCCAAGCTACATTGAAAGCTTGGCAAAAAATAAGGTTCCCAAAAGTGGACGGAATACCAATTGAAGTATTTTCGGCGAACAGATGCAGCCCTCGTTGTATTCACAAATCATATTTCCAGAAATTTCAAGACAACTACCTGGCCAGCAAGTATAATCTTGCTAAAGATTGTTCAAAAATATCTGAAACAGTACATCAACAGGACCTGCCCGAAATTCAAGTTGACTTCAGAAGAGGTTGTGGCATGAGGGATAGCATTGTTGCTATCAAATGGCTCTTGACTGAAAGCAGAGGATACTAGAAAGATAATTGCTTGTGTTTTAAAGACTATGCAAAGGCATTTGACTGTGTAGATCATTATAAATTACAGATGACATCGAGAAGAATGGGAATCCCAGAACACTTAATTTGTTCTCCTGCAAAACCTTTACATAGACCAAAAAGCAGTTGCTCAAACAGAAAAGAGGATATTGTATGGTTTAGAATTAGGAAAGGTGTGAATCAAGGTTGTATCCTTTTTCCATACATTTTCAGTCCCTATGCTGAGCAAATAATTTGAGAAGCTGGATTATATGAAGAACGTGGCATCAGGATTGGAGGAAGATTTATTAACAACATGCATTATGTAGATGACACAATCTTGTTTCTAGAAAGTGAAGATCAATGACTACAGTCTTCAATATGGGTTACATCTCCCCATCAAGATAACAAAAATCCTCACAACTAGACCAATAGGAAACATGATAGAGAAAAGATTTACGTTGTCAGCTTTTACTTGGATCAAGAGTCACCATCTTTGGCAGCATCAGAAGATGTATTGTGTTGGGCAAATTGGCTGTCAGGGTCCTTCTCAAAGTGCTAAAGAGCACAGATCTGTTTAAATTTCAAAGTGTTCCTAATCGAAGCCATGGTATTTTTCATTTGTCTCATTTGCATCTGAGAGCTGGACAATGAATACAGAAGACTGGAAAAGAATCAGTGCCTCCGAGATGTGTTGACAAAGAGTATTGACTATCTCGTGGGCTGTCAAAGAACCAAAAAGAATGTCTTTGGAAAGGTGCAACCAGGGTACTCCTTGGAAGCTAGGGTGGTGAAACTCTGTCTAACAGACCCTTTGGGCGGGCTTTCAGGAGGGGCCAGTTCTTGGAAGAAGACATCTCATGCTAGGGAAAGTAGAGAGTTGTTGAGAAGAAGGAGCATTTTCAACACGGTGAGTGACCCAATCATTGCAGGAATGGCTTGAGCGTGGCAACGATGGTGATGATGGCACAGAACAGGGCAGGACTTCAGTCTGTGGCCTGTGAGGTCATGATGTGTTGTAGTCAACTGTTCTAGCACGTAACAATTAATAATAACAGTGTATACACACAAAAAGAACAGGTCTGCTCCAAACCCCTTAGATAGAAAACCCTCGCTCTTCCATTCAAAGCAGCATGACCTAGTTATGCTTTCTAACATTGCATTTCATAGATTAAAATTTTTTAAATTACAACAACAGTTGTTGTTGTTGTTGTTATTGTTATGTGCCTTCAAATCAGAACCGACCCATAGCTGACCCTCCAGCAGGTGTTTAGAGGCAGGTCATCGCACAGGAATCGACTGTCCATCCTTCTCCTGCAGAGCAGCTGGTAGATTTGAACTACGTGCCTTTGGGATTTCAGCACAGCTTCTTACCACTAGGCCACCAGAGCTCCCTCCTTCTACCATCTAGTTTTTAATTACTGTAGAGTATCTTGTCAGATGGTCTTCACCAATCCCATGTTGAGCATTTAGGTTGTTTTTAGTTCTTCACTGTCAGATTGAATAGCGGTACATCTCTTTTTGTTCCCAGAGTAGCTTCTTCTTGTACAAACGCCACGTCAAAACTGTACAAATCTTCAGACAATCACAACAGTTTCCTCTTAAAAACTTCTATCCGATTTGCACTCCCACTTGTCTTGTGTGTGATAGTTTCCTGCTTCTGTAACAATCCAATTCACTTTTTCTTTTCCAGCCTTACATATTATATAGGTGAAAATGTTATCATTGCCTTAATGGTGTGCGATTGTCCATTTCCCCCAGTACTTTGGTTATTTAATTTGCTTTCACAAACTGTCAATTTCCTGTATTTGGCATATATTCCATTTTCTTACTGTTGATGCTAAGTGCCGTCAAGTCAACTCTGATCCATAACTCTGTGAGCAGTGGGTCTGAACTGTGCCCCATGCTGTGCCCTCCTTACTGTCCCTGATGCACTCACGCCCACTGTAACAGTCACTGTGTTGTTCCATCTCATTGACCGACTTCCCTTCCTTTACTGACCCCTTCAAGCATGATGTCCTGTTCCAAGAACTGGCCCCTTTTAACAACTTGCCCGGAGTATGTCAGATGAAGTTGCACAATCCTTTCCTTTAATTAGCACTTTGGCTGCACCTTTTCCAAGACGTGTCTGTTCTTTGGCAGTCCATGGGATATTCAGCACTCCTCTACAGGACCATCGATTCTTCTTCATCCTTATTCATTGTTCAGCTTTCAGCTGCATAGCAAGTAATTGAAAAGATTATGCTTTGGATCAATTGCGTCTTAGTCTTCAAAACTGACGTTGTTTTTCAGCACTTTGAAGAGGTCCCTGACAGCTGAATTTCCTAATGCAATGTATCTTTTGATTTACTGACTGTTGGTGCCTCAGGTGTTGATTGTGGAGTCAAGCAAGATTAAAAATCACTGACAGTTTCTATCTCTTCTGAATCTATCATGATGTTTTCTTATTGTTGTTATGTGCCATTGAGTCGCCTGGGACTCATAGCAGCCCTCTGTACAACAGCCCTAAACCCTGCTCTATCCTGTGCCAATCTTATTGTCTCCGACACACCTACCCCCATTACCCCAGTGACTGAATCAGTCATCTCATCGAGGATCTTCCTCTCCTATGCTGTCCCTCCACCCTTCCAAGCATGATGTCCTTCTCCAACGACTGATCCCGCCTTGCAACATGTCCGAAATATGTCAGACAAAGCTTCAGAATCCTTGCCTCCAAGGAGAAGCGTGGCTTCACCCTCTCCAGGACGAACTTGTTTGTTCTCTTGGCAGTTTTCATACTAGATTGTAAAAAAACCAGTTACATAGTCCTTTGTCCTGCATGATAAAATATTTTACTTTATTATTTTTTCAACATCTTTTTTACTGTATTATTTTTTTTTCAGCATCTTTTAAGTTTTGTAAAATGTTTTAATAACAGACCTTTGTCTTTTGTAGTTTCTACTTTCTGTGGTGAATACTTAGAAATCTGTACTCCGTTCCAAGTTGAAATAAAACTTTAGGTGGGGTTTTAGGGTTAATTTTGTTTTTTGTGTTTCAGCTAAATTAATATTCCATGTGAAATTTATTTTTGTATAAAGAGAGAAATAAAATTTGAACTCTTTACCCCCTAATACTCAGCTCCTGTAATTTCCGAGAGTCATTTCCAAGACTGAATTGCTTTAACAGCTGGTCATCCAAAGGTTTTGGAAGGGTTTCCCATTAGTCCTGTGTCCGCCTAATTATAATCTCCTTGCAATCAATCTAGCAGTTGTATTTACACTATTTACCTTCAGCTAATTTTTCTGGCTCATTTTCTGTTCGTAGAATCGAAGGTGCCCACATGCTCTGGGGAACTGAGACGTTGGAAGACTGGGCACTACACTCTAATACATGACGGCAGCAATTCTGAATTCGCACTGGACTTAGTTCTCTACTGTGGCTGTGAAGGTACGAGGGAGAAGGGAAGGCAGGGAGCTATTTCCACTGAGAGACACTTCCTCCTGCGTGACTGTCTTCATCTGAACCAAGTCATCTATCCTGGTTAAGATCTCAACTCGGCATCTCAAAGAGAGTTGAGAATTTCATTCTCCAACTCAGAGGAAGATTTATGTCTGTGATGATGGTATGGAGAAATGAACCATGCCATAACTACTCCTTAAAGACCCTCTAATTTAGCAGCTTCCTGAATGCATTTCACACATAATTATTATTCTTTTTCAGTCCTTATTCATTGTTGTTTGAAATAAGCCCAAATTTAAGTTCAGCTATCCTGAGAAATTAGACCTTTGAGCAACATGGGATGGGTGACTTAGCAGATAATAGAACTTGTTCATTTTCACCTTGCCAGGCTGGGACCCCGAATACGGTGGCTTTACTTCCTACATTGCCAAAGGTGAAGACGAAGAGGTAAGATGCTTCTGTAGCAAACTCCCTGTTCAGTTATGAGAAAGCTTTCATTATTTATAGTCCCAATTTTTTGTGGCTTTCTGCCAGTATGTTAGCCTTCCACGATTGGCTTAAATTCTAACAGGAACTGCTCAGCATGGAATATAGATGCAAACGGCAATTGCTACCAGGGAGAGGGAAGTAAAAACCAATCACTAAGGAAGTTGAGTGAAGAGAAAAAAATGTATACATAAAGGGTTGATCAGATATGTTATCAAACAAAATTTATATAAATGATTGAATGAAAAACCATTTTAATTTGTTAACTTTCCCTCAAATCACAGAATAAAACTTTTCCCACAAAAACGAAGAGTAAACTAATAAGTATTTATTCTGTCTTGTGAATAGTAAGTCCTATAGAGAGAATCCAAGAAAATTCAGAGACACATCAGGCATTCCTGTGAAATCTTTTCAGTTAGTAAAAAAAACCCAAAAAACAAAAAACCAACCAAACCTCTTTCTGGCTATGAGCCGGACTAAGGCTTGCTGGGCATCTGTTGTCTTGACAGTCAGAGCAAAATGTCTAGTACAGGATCTGTCAAAGAATTTGAAGTCATTGATACAGAAGTCAGGTAAGTTGTGAGGAGTCATTGAAGAAAACAGTGTAAATAAGCTCTTTGTTCTGATGTGTCATTTTTATTTACCTGTTTCAGCTGCTAACAGTGAATCCAGAAAACAATTCTTTGGCACTGGTGTACAGAGATGGAGAGACTCTAAAATTTGTCAAGTATATTAACTCTCGAAGCTTAGAACAAAAGAAAACCCTCCCACATAGAACAGGCTTCTGGGACTTCTCGTTTGTCTATTATGAATGACAAGGCCGCATGAAGGGGAACAGAGGACGAGGACGTCTGGGGGCTCCAGGCCAGAACGAAGAAGAGCCACCTGGTCAGCTGGTTTTGGTTGTCATTTAATGGGACACCATGGATTGTCCTCAATCTGGCCCTTGAATTCACATGGATTAAAAAAGCTTTTTGTTGTTAACATTCAATTCTTTTTCTTTTATTGACTTCTTTAACTTCACTGGTTTTACATATATATATTTTCACAAGTAAGTATGATTGACATTTCTGCTCAGCCCAGTTATACTGGTTTTCAAACCATGGAAGGTTCCACCCTGATCATGCTGGGTCTTAGAGCTCTGGCATGATTTGAATCCTTATGCTTCCTTTTCACAGCCTCTGGCTTTGTTCCATTTGCCTTACACAGTACAGGATGGACGTGGATAGATATGGATGGAATCCTTTTTCCCTTAGAAATGCTCTGGCCTGGAAAAACAAAAATCCACATGGCCTCAAGCGACTTCTGATTGTTGAGGAAGACATACAATGGATAGTCACTTCCGGGTGGAATAATTCTGAGCTACATATGGCTTTTCTTTTCCTCAGTGCTACAGGTCAACTATAAACTAAGTTGAGTCCCTCTCTTTTACCTATTCTTAAGAGGCCAAATGCTAAAGATGCATTGAAACGCCACGAGGCTGACCATGTTGTATCTTTTCCTTCCTGAACTGTTCCTGAAGCTTATATAATAACTACCTCTGTGGGAGTGTAGGTATGCTTATGCTTCTGTTTCTTTGGTTGAATGGTGCTGTCCAGTACAAAGCAGATCTTGTTCAAACCCAACACTGTCTCCTTGGTCTCCTCTATTTTACATTTATTTCTTGGAATTTTAGTCGCTTTTAGTTTGAAAAGCACTGGGCTTAAACTCCTTATCACTGGGCTTTTCTCTGATCTCCTGAGCTCTGTTTACCGCTGTTTTTTTGACTGGTACAGGAGGAGATAGCTCCTCCTTCTCTGGCAGAGCATCTGGTGGATTCGAACCACGTATCTCTGGGATTGCAGTGCAGCTTCTTGGCACTAGGCCACCAGAGCTCCCCTACTGCTGTTTTTTTAAAGCTTGAATTAAATGGAAAAGAGTTTCATTTTTAGCTTTGTAGGTTTATAATTGCACATTTTTGTGGATTGGTAGAAAGTGTTTTCATAAGCACTCCCTCAGACTTGAGTATTTTACTCCTCAGCTCTGCATGTCTACATGGAGCCTGTAGTAGAAAGCACTAAATTTTTTTTATTTTATTTTATTATTATTTTTGTGTGAGTGTACCATCAAATCAGATCTGACTGGTACAGGAGGAGATTGTCCCTCCTTTATCGGCAGAGCATCTGGTGGATTCGAACCATGGGCCTTTGGGATTGCAGTGCAGCTTCTTGCCACTAGGCCACCAGAGCTCCCCAGAAAGCACTAAATTTTTTAAGACCACATAAGAAATGGCCATAACTAGTTCTTAGATTCTCTCCTCAGACCTTAATGGGTCATTGCACATATAGGCTATTTTTGAAACCATTTTTTTAATCATACCAGAGAAGCAATAAAGACTATAAACACATCATTACTATGGGTTGAAATGTCAGAGTTTGACTTTTTTTTTTTTCTTTCCCAATTCCTGAATGTTGAAAGTCAGCACTGTAATAGTACTTTGACTCCGTTGTGTTCTGTGTTCTGATGAGTGAGACAAACGGGTGAGGTTATAGTTAAGACATGGTCTGTAATCCCGGACAGGTCCGGGGACAGTGTGGGGGGCAGGTGGAACCCTCATGTCCCAAGATTGGAGAACTGCACAAGACTCCTAGCCTTACGTCGCAGCGAGGAAGACCTCCAGCCCTTCCCATTCTGGAGAGCTAAGGGAAACCTTAGTGGACAACACAGGTCACGTGTTAAACCTCCCCCGCTATCTCAGTGTATTTATGGTCTGTCAACTCAGCAGCATCTTGTGTTCACGCAGGAAGAGGTTTGGTGTCAGGGGAGAAAAGCCCCAGAGCAGATGCTGCCCTTGCTCTCGACTGCACCATCGACCACAGCAGCTCTGGCTGCGGAGATGGTCGAACATGCAACTCACGTTTCCACCATGAAAACCCGCGGCGGCTGGAAGTGCCTTTTCCTTACTACTTCATTTTCATGTTGTCTGCATTTTAGGACCAGACGGCCAATCTCAGCTACTGTGAATAGGCAAAAGAAACTACTAACACATGGGTATTTTATTTATAACTCTCAGTTTTAAAACTTAGAACGAGTTTTATTTATATAACTTGTTTACTTTTATAGTATGTTACCTATTCGCCTACTGCTCAGTGAACCTCAGATTTTCATAATTTACCTTCCTAGAAAAGGGAGACATTTTTCATTCCAAAGGGGATCATTTCCCCCACAGTTGTAAAAACAGAATCATGACGAATTCAACATGTACAAATAGAGAATAAGTCACCTGAAAATCCTGTAGTAAGCACTGTGGGTCATCTTAACTAGACTAAATGATGTTTTTCCAAACTCCCTTTATTATTTTTCTGTTTAGGGCGAATCACAATTTCTTGGGCAAGATTTGGAGGGCCAAAGAGGGCAACAGCCACTGCGTGGTTTATCTGCCGACTCACCGCCTTGACTCGGGAGGGGCTGTGTCTGTTCCTACAATATCCAGCTCTTGAGTGGGGTGGCAGTGTGACGAGGGGGCTCTGCTTCTCCAAGACACCCTTTCCACCAAAGTTAGAAGCAACAACTAATAAAATGTTAGTCCATCATCCTAGACCACAGCTCATGCCTGTAAGAACCAGCTTGTTCCTGTTTGCCACATCTTCATGACTTCCTGTGCCTTGGCTTCAAGCACCGGCATCAGACAGAAACAGCAGTTTTTCAGAGAATGTCTCATATTTTGAAGATCAGACCCCTGCGTACATCCTTTTATATGCTGAGCATAATGAAAATGAACATTTCCGTAAAGTCATCTTCTAAGCATATTTCTTTTTTTTAGAAACAAACAAAATCTTGTATTAGTGCTGAATCTTAATCTGGAAAAGGAAAATGCCGTTGGGTTTTGAATCTGGGTTTGCCACCACTCAGCTCCAGTGAACAGCACAGCTGCCAGCTCACCCTGGGAAAACTTGTTTACAGATTTAAAGATTGGGCTTTGAATTTTCTATACCACGTTTTGAGACCAGAAACGTTAGGGTTGGACTATCTTCCACGCCATCGTATTTTGTTAGGCACTGTCAAGTCGGAACTGAACACCCTCTAGTGGCTTTTCAGAAGCTGTAAATTGTAAGAGAGGAAATTGCTCATCTTTCTCCCACAGAAAGGAGGGTGGATTAGAACTGCTTGCCTTTGGGTTGGTACTACAACTCTTTACATACTAGACCACAAGAGCCCCCTACACCATCGTATGCTTAACACTATTTGAACCGAGGAAATGTAGACTTCTTCAAAGGTAATGCCACAGCCATGGTAGAACTCAATGGTCCTAGAAAACAGGGTCCTCAGTGCAACAATGAATGAATGAAAACCCAAAATCTCTGTAAATGTTCATTAAAACTAATAAAATTTAATAATAATAATAACAATACTAATAATAATAAAAAGAAAACAGGGTCCTTCTCAACGTTAGCGACCATTTATTATGATCCACATAGTCAAATGCCTTTGCATAGTCAAGAAAACACAAGTAGACATCTTTCTGGTATTTCCTACTTTCAGCCAAGATCCATCTGGCCTCTTCAGTGGCATCCCTTGTTCTACAACCTCTTCTGAATCCAGCTTAAATGTCTGGCAGTTCCCTGTTAAGGTATAGTTCCTGCTCTTTCATTAATCTGCAGCAAGATTTTACTTGCAAGTGATATCAATGATTGACTACTGTTCCATAATCTCCAGTTGGATCCATTTTCTTAGAATGGGAACAAGTGTGGATCTCTTCCAATCAGTTAGCCAAGTAGCTGTCTTCCGCATTTCTTGGCATAGCTTAGTAAGCACATCCAGGGATGCATGTTTGTTGAAACACTTCCATCAGTTCCTGGATCTTTATTTTATTGCCAATGCCTTCGGTGCACCTTGAACTTCTGCCTTCTTTACCATTGTTAGGGCTAGAATTGGGTTAAGTCAGGCAAAATCAGGCAAGGCTGGGAGGAAAGAATGTTAGGGCAGATACCAGCAAAGGAAGGAAGGAAAAAAACTTGTGTTAAAGCCCAAGGTCAAGCCAAGTAGCGAAGGGGAAAGTCATGTTGGGGGCTAATAGAGGGCACAGGAAAAATTGGAAGCAAAGGAGGACTGGCACCTGGAAAAGATGACCTTATCACCAGGCAGAAATAAATCCTGAGATTGCATGAGAGCATTTTGAACACTCAATGATTTACTCAAAGCTAATACTAAGGAAAGGATCGTGATTATAGGGCAAGGTTCCAATCTGTTGTCCGTTGGGCCTCTATGAGGTGCAGTCAACTCAATAGCATCTAATGATTCCAAGCTGCACTCACTTGACCCAAGCCTGGTATTTTCCATTGTTTCATAAGCATGCAAAAACTGGACGGTGAATCAAAGAATTGATGCCTTTGAATTGTGTTGATGAGGAGTATTGGATATGCTGTGAACTTCCAAAAGAACGTGTCTAATGCTGGTCATCTTGCAGCACTATATCAGACAATGTTCATAGGGTTTTGGGGGACCCATTATTTCAGACGTTACTGACCATTCTTCTTAGTCTGTCCTAATCTAGTTCTGCTGAAATATCTTCACCATAGGTGACCCTGTGGGTATGTGAAATACCAGTGGCCTAGTTTCTCCAGTGTCACCGTAACAGGAAAGCCATGACCCAATGGCATATTGACAGACGTGTTAGAACAGTATGAATAGTATAAAGTTTTTTTTTTCTTACTGTGCAATAATTATCTAGTGTTTGCAGATTCTTTTTAAAAAAATATTATCTTGCGTGTGTGTACCCTCAAATAGGATCTGACTGGTCCAGGAGGAGATGGTCCCTCCTTCTCCAGCAGAGCAT